TTACGAGGCCATTGTTTTGTCACTGAACCATGACTGTACGCAGCGGGGGCTAGGGTAGGGGGCAGTTTCCATAAATTTAAAAAAAAAACAGAAAATGCAAATAAATTTTCAATAATTTATTGCATTTTACCCCGGTCTCCAACATAAAAAAATCCTCTGGACGGCCATGCATTATGGCTCAAGGCATGGGCACACAGATTTTTTTTTAATGTTAGGCACCGGGGTTAAATGCAATAAATTATTGAAAATTTATTGCATTTTCTGTGTTTTGTTTAACTTATGGAAACTGCCCCCTACACTAGCCCCCGCTGCGTACAGTCATGGTTCAGTGACAAAGCAATGGCCTCGTAACTGTGAGGCCCCAGGATCAAAACCGTGTCGATGTGCTATATTAGTGCCCTTTTGGAGGGCATTAATCCTCATTACTGTCATTTATGACTTAAGGGCATAGGTCCCCTAGTTGATAAGCATAGTAGCATACACATGCTTTAGCAGTCACGCAAAACACACATTGGCAAATTATTATTCAATAAAATCTGAGAATGTATACTATTATCTAGATCTATTATTTTTAAATTATTTTTAAAATAATTCCATAAATTGGAATATAAAAAAAATATTCCACCTTTATGAGCGACAGTGTATATTTGTCACTCTAGACTCACTTAGCGCTATTTTTGCCGGAGATATGGCCGGGGTTATATAATATCCAAAGTCCTTATCAAATGTAACCTCATGAAATTATAAAGACGTAACATCACAATTCGTTATAATTGCGCTATACAATTAGGACCGAATAAAATATATTAATAATCAATCCACCTTAAAACATTTTTTTTTTTTTTTTTTTTTTTTTTTACATCAATAACCCACTTCTTTTAAATGCCAAAATTAAACTGATTGACTATTTGTGCAGCACAAACCGTACGACAGTTCGGTACAATGGTTACTGACTTGGTAGAAGTCGATTTGACAACTAATAGTCGTTATTTTTTTATTTATTTTTTTTTTTGTAAAATGAATTTATTGATAAATATATGCATTTGAACAAATCAAACAATCGTAAACAATCAATTGAAATAACATCGTAGCATCTTAACATAGTTCAATCCACCTTAAAACATGCTTCCGATTCTTCTTGACCCCTCACCCTCTCATCCGCCCTTTTTGTTGACAAAATCTTGTATCCGCCCTGAAAGACTTACCTGATGACCAGTTTCTTGGGCTTCCTCCAGAGAAACACTGTTGGTCAAGTTTGAGTGAATGACCTCCATAATGATCAGAAAGAAACCAATTCAACGTCACAATCTGTGGAAAAGCAGAACAATGTTATTTGAACGAATTATGATGACAATAATATCGATTGTAATTATAGACAAACGAACCTATACCCTATATGTTAAATACAATCAGTATAAAATGTTGTACTCAAAGAGGTTTCATTAATTCATTTGATAATGTGTAATAATTAGATTGTAGCACTTTGTTATTCATATATTTATCTATCATATTCCAAAGTTTCTTTTACTTGTGTACATTGTTTCTGCCATTGTTTTCTTCCTGTTTGTATTTTTATATTTATTTTAATCCAACCACACGTTTTGGTTCCAATAAAGAAATAATTGAACAAAAATATTTTATTAACATACACCCCCCCCTCCAACAGGCAGGTAAGTTTTGTTGATCCCTAACGGAAAAGGAGGAGGAGGAAGAAGAAGAAGAACAAGAAGAAGAACAAGAAGAAGAACAAGAAGAAATCCTGATCTGTGCATGAGCAGACAAAGTTCATTTTAAAATTGAATACAGTAGTATATAGAATTGATGTTTATTACCATAGTCCATTGTGTTATAAGTTTTGTATATAAGGCAATCAAGGAGCTTTCAATATATCTATTACCTCTAGCCCCCCCCCCCACACTGCCCTAATGGTCAGAGGACTCTTGACCTGTCACCGGAGTCCGATATAAATATGTCCGGTTAAAAGTCCGCAGGGTAGTCCCGTCATACCAGCACATTTCAGCTATTCAATCAGTACAAACCCCATATAACAGTTAGTAATCTAATGTCGTTTATTCAAGGATTAATGAGGCCTATTATTGACACAGTATTGTATTCACGTAATGAGCCATACAGAAGTGTGTGGCAGTGTTGTCGATTCTCAATGCAATATACCGATAACAATATTTGCTAATACTCGACGTGCTTATCATCAAGATCATTATACGATGTTGTATTATATTAATAATATACAGGGCTGAAGAGAGAGAAATAAAGGAGATAACGACGATGTCCATGATTTGATTTTTTTTTTAAATTTGATGAGTGATAACTTCGATGATGGTCATCATGTTGATGATCATAACAATAATTATAGTCGTATAGTCACTGGATGTTATCCCATTTACTCTATTGATTTCAACAATATTTCCAAGATTTGGTTTTATAGAGATTATTAGATTACGTTTCAATATTTTGTTTTATTAGTCAATTTAATCCATTGGAACTGTTATATAGCTGGGGCCTGCTGGGCGGAGTCGACCGTTTAATGATTGTACATAATTATGATAGTCATTTGAAACTGATCGATGTTCAATTATGAGAAGATTTAATACAATGTGTGTGTGTGTGTGTGTGTAGTGTATTTAGTCCATAACATTATAGTGTTCTTCTTTTTATCTTCTTCTTATTATTCTTCTTCTTCCTCCTCCTTCTCATCTTCCTCTACTTAAAATTAGTTTTTCTTCTTCTTCCCCTCCTCTACTTCCAATTCTTCTTCTTGTCCCTCTCCTCTCCTCTTAATCTCCTTCTCTTTATCATTCACCTTCTCCTTCTTCTTCTTCTTCTTCTTCCCCTCCTCTACTTCTAATTATTCTTCTTGTCCCTCTCCTCTCCTCTTAATCTCCTTCTCTTTATCATTCACCTTCTCCTCCTCCTTCTTCTTCTTCTTCTTCTTCCCCTCCTCTACTTCTAATTCTTCTTCTTGTCCCTCTCTTATTCTCCTTCTCTTTCTCCTTCTCAATCACCCCTCCTCCTTTTTCTTCTTCTTCTTCTTCTTCTTCTTCTTCTTCTTCTTCTTCTTCTTCTTCTTCTTCCTCTTCTACTTTCCCCTAAAATGTATGTTTCCTTCAACCCTGAATATTCTTGCATAATTAATGAGAAGCGTGCGTTGAAGAGTAAGCTGCATGTGTGCCAATATTTCATATACGGTACAAGTCAAAAATCGCCTTTCATCTATGCAGGTTTTCTTCATTCTTTTGAATCATAAAAATCTGATGAGATAAATTATTTTAACTTACCAAGCAAATGTCTTCAGTAGTTTTGCGTCGATGTGCTCCCTAGCTGCATGTATCATCGTAAGCAATTGGGTTCCAAGGTAGTCCGATCTATAAGACCCACTTGTCGAAATGTTGGCCAGATTCACTCACGCAAATGAGATGCAATTAAGTCAAGTCAGCGAATTCGTTTGTATACTAACTTAATTAAATCATTCGAGATGTTATAATTTTAAAGAGCCAAGCAGTACGACAAGTTTGGGATACATTCAAAATCGATAAGTTAATGACAACATTTCTCTATAAATTCGACTCCTTTTAGTTTTAGCGCGCTGTACTGTACTGTGCTCTCGTTTGGCATCAGTGCACTGAGATTCAGCTTATAAAACCCCGTATTTTGGGTCCTTGCTTTTTCCCTTTAGAATGCAACATAAATCCTCTTTTAAGTTCTCCTTTTGTGGGTTCCTTTTAATTTTTGACCTCGGAGTCCAAAACCTTATTGTCCATTCAGCAGGCCTTAGCATTTCACGTTGAGCCATTCAGTGGTTTTGTATGACATTGGATAACAAACAGTAGGCCTAATGGCGATTTTGGAATGCCCAGTCACGCAGGGCTAGGTGGAACTTTTTGTTTGGTGTTGGGGTTTTTTGGCCCCTGTTCAGTGGCTTAGTATAAATCTTGAGAATAAACAGTTGCTTTTGAATGTCCAGTCATATAGTTCTAGGTTGAACTATAAAGAGGAGAGAGAGAGAGAGGAGGAAGAAAGAGCTGAGTGAGAGAGAGAGAGAGAGAGAGAGAGAGAGGGGGGGGGGGGGGAAGAGATACTAAATATATAGCTGTTCGGTGGCTAAGTATAAATCTTGAGAATAAACAGGGTTTTTTGAATGCCCAGTCATTGTAGTTCTAGGTGGAACTAGAGAGAAGCGAGAGAAGGAAGAGAGAGCTGAGCGAGAGAGAGAGAGAGAGAGAGAGAGAGAGAGAGGAGAGATAAAGATATGAAATATATAGCTAGGATCGAGAAAGAGAGGGATAGCGAGATTGGGAAGGGAGTACGACGAGACCTGAAAATCACCTTTTTCACCCACTCATCGTGTTAATTGGTGTATTTGTTAATTCTCGCTACCCTAAATAGGTACGAAAATCTCGAAATTCGCGAGACGAGGTAATTTTCACTCTCTCGGGTCGTCACTACAACTTCCGGTATAGAGTCCCATCCCGCTGGCGCTAGCGCCTGTGTTCGCTGTGCAGAGTTTTCACGCACGCTAAAATCGATGCCAATCAGTGTAATTTGTACAGATTATAATATGCAATGGAAAGCTTCGGGCAGAATTAGTGACTTTAGCACAAAAGGCCGTTAAACTCTACCGTGAAAGAGAGGGTTGTGATCACGAACGCCTGCACAGGAAGCTGTAATGTCGAAAAGCTATCCCATAATGCAATGCGCGTTTTCAGGATTTTCCCCGGATCTCGGCAGAATCGCTATTTGGGGTAGCGAGAATTCGCATTTTATTCACCGAGTAGAAACGGCGGAACCAAAGACGTTTAAATATAATTACTCAGTTTTGAATGCTTTAATATTTCTTTTCTCTAAAAAACGGTTAAAAAAAACCTGTCGTGCACTAACTAATTAATGACATTTTCCATCGGAGCTTTGACCCCACTTTGCATAATGTATGCTAGAGTTGCGTGGCGGGAAGGTTGAATAAGAGTAGGGCGTTGGTTATTGACTGCTATCTAACGAGGCAGTGCGGACCACCCGATTTTGCTCCAGCAAGGGATTGTGACAGATAGTGTTTCCTTGTGTGGTGTTAGAGTCGGATTGTAATGGAAGGTGTTTCAAGCAATATTGAGCAGCCAGTAGTCAGAGGACAAGAAGGTGAGCCTGTATCATTAGATGCTCTGACCAATGCAATAAATGTGGCCGTAGCAGGGGCTTTAACGCAAGCGATTGGAGGTATCCATAGTTATGTTGATAATCAACTTGAATCGCAAAAGAAGGCAAACGAAAAGGCTACTTTTGACATACAAAAGCTCAAAGCAAAGAAAATACAGTTCAGGTTCAAGGGGAATGAGGAGCAGGTAAACTTTAATTGCTCCATTTTAGATCAATTACAGGAAGTCAAGAAATCACTTCCTTTGGGGAGCAGTGCTGCTCCAATACTTGACAAAGCTGAAGAAGATCTAAGGCAAAGAAACAAGTTGGTGAAGCTTGCAGATAAGTCTGAAGCGGGGTGGTTGGCGGTTGATGAGTATCTGGCGGATGATTTAGCAGAGGATAGTGAAGATGATAAAAAGATCCGTTCTGCCCAAGCCAGGGCAGCAGCCAGGAAGAAGAAGACCGGTCTCAAATCTGTTCCTAAACCCAAGCCTTATCAGGCGAGGAGACCTATGGCTTCTCCTGCCAATCCGGCTTATATGCCCAGTTATGCTTATAATTTTCGTGGCCCAATCCGCCATAATACCCCTTACACGAGACCATTCAATCCCACCTATCAGTCAGGCCCCAAGTCATCTGATTTCTGCTTCGCATGTGGGAAGACGGGTCATTAGAGACGAAATTGCCCTGGTTATAGCCCCAAGTTGTCGAAAGACGGTCAGTAATGGAATTAACGTTGGAGAGCAGAATAAAGGTAAATATTATCGGTTTCGAGTATTGGCTATATTTGCAGTATTATGATACCCCTTTTATACAAATAAAAGGTTTACAGAATTGTTATTGGTTTTATAAATTTGGAACAGAATGAAGTGATAGGTTGTATAACGTTCACTTGTTATATGAATTGGTTAAAATTTTATCCAATTGCTTATGTTTAGTAAATGAGTAAAGGGATGATGTAATATCAAGGTATCGGTAGGCAGTCTATGAAAGAGTGAGACATGAGAGGAAAGATAGGATTGTGAATTTTGCAAATTTCATGTTCTAGAATGAAAATGGTGATTGACTATACTGAGATTCCATTGTCGCCTACATAAATAAGAGATTTAGATGTTGTGGTGAATTAAAATTGTGGTTTCAATAATTTTATGCACAGAACCCCGAGATTTTCGTAAGATGAGACATGCTGGCCCTAGTGTATCAGCCTCGGATATTCCCAATTTTCCTACCACAAATCTAATTAGTACGGATGCAGACGCGATGATGATGGAACCAGTAGTAGCCCCGGATTTAAGCAAAGTGGAGGTGTTGCCTAAAAAACTGGACAGAAATCAACCAGATAGGTACGATCCTGAGTTTTTTATTAATAATTTTCATGAATATGAACAAGGAATTTCAGAGCCATTAGTAAAAGGAAGGCTCAAAGCATCTGTTGAATTTTGGTGTGCTATTGGTGCGGAACCAGAGATTGTTAGTATTGTTTGCGAAGGGTACAAATTACCTTTTGTAAATACACCACCTTCAGCTTGTTTCAAGAACAACAAATCTGCAATTAAGTATAATGATTTTGTTTTGGAAGCTGTGAATGAACTTTTGGCTAAGAACCTTATTGTAGAATGTAAAACTAAACCTTGTGTAGTGAATCCCTTATCAGTTTCAGTTCAGAGCTCTGGTAAGCTAAGACTTATTTTGGATCTTAGGTATGTAAACCAATTCTTGTGGAAACAAAAGGTCAAGTTTGAGGATTGGAATATTGCTCTTGAATTTTTCCAACAAGGTGACTTTATGTTCAGTTTTGACCTTAAGTCTGGATACCATCATTTTGATATTTTTAAGGAACATTGTAAATATCTAAGCTTTAGTTGGGAGATCAGAAAGGTAGTTAAATACTTTTCTTTCCAGGTTTTGCCGTTTGGTCTATCGACAGCTCCGTATATATTCACTAAATGTATCCGACCTCTTGTCAGACATTGGAGGAAGAAAGGGTATTTTATTATTGTTTTCCTTGATGACGGTTGGTGTAGATGTGATTCTTTGCGTTCATGCAAGTTAGTATCAAGTAGTGTCAAAGATGATTTGTTAGCCGCAGGATTTGTGCCTAATATTGAGAAGTCTGTTTGGACCCCCACAACCAAGTTGAATTGGTTGGGTATGATTTGGGATTCAGAGGCAGGAGCTATTAGAGTGATTGAACGCCGAATCTCTGATATTTTTGGATGTATTGATAGGCTGTCTTTGAAATTTCCATTGGTTTCAGCCAGAGAATTAGCCTCTCTTGCAGGTAAAGTTATGTCCTTGTATCCAGTTGTAGGGAATGTTTCGCAACTGACAACTAGATTTATGTACATGGAGGTGACAAAACGCCTACATTGGGACAAGGTTTATAAGTTAGCCGTTGGCAGTTCTGTATTCAAAGAAGTTTTCTTTTGGAAAGAAAATCTAAATAGATTAAATAACAGAATTTTGTTTGAGTATTCCACACCTCAAGTGTTACTGTTTTCAGATGCTAGCAACATTGGATGTGGCGCCTGGACGGCTCAATGTTGAGAACTGAAATTTGTCCAGAATTGGAAGTGTGATGAAATTGGTAAAAGTTCAACATGGAGAGAACTCAAAGGAGTTTCTTTGGCAATAGAAGCCTTCTCGCCAAGTTTAAAAGGAAAGAAGGTCAAGGTGTTTACTGACAACACTGGTGTAGAGGTCATTATGAGAAAAGGCAGTATGAAGGTCGATTTGCATGATTTAGCATTGCGTATTGCTGATTTTTGTAAAAGTCTACCCTTAGAACTTTCTGTGCAATGGGTCCCGAGAGATGAGAATGTAGAGGCAGATATCCTGAGTAGACAAGAAGACTTCGATGATTGGGGTGTTACTGTAGAGTTTTTAAAGTTCATTGATACTAAATGGGGCCCGCACACAGTAGATAGATTTGCTGATGAGTTCAATCATAAATTGCCGGTTTTTAATTCTAAATTCTGGTGTCCTTCTACTAGTCAAGTAGATGCGTTTTCTGGTGATTGGAGTAAGGAGAGGAATTGGCTGATCCCCCCTATCTCCCTGGTGGGAAGGGCGATCAAACATGTTAAAGTTTGCCGGGCTTTAGCGACATTGATTGTGCCATCATGGCCGTCTGCCCCATTTTGGCCTCTTTTGTTTTCATCAAACAGTAGTTTCAGTAACCTGGTGGTTGAGGTCATGAGATTTTCTGATCCAAAGCATATCTTTGTTCAAGGTCGTAACCCTAGTTCTATTTTTGGGACTTCCAAGATGACAAGTGAGGTCTTATGCCTGAGGTTGGATGGAAGAAATTCTAGGGTTCCATAAGTTCTAAGTAGAATCTCAGGAGGTAAAAGTGGTTTGAGATTGGAAACAGAGATAATAGTATATACATGAATGTGATATTGTTATGGGATAACAGGATTGATTGTGCAGCATTGCATTTTAGAGAGTTATAAACCCGCATGGTATTCTCTCCAGTTATACGTTTGTATAGTAGGTTGGTCATGTGGATGACTGATATTGAGTGTTTTCAAATATATTTAACCGTTTGGTTTGATGAACTCAATTTTTTCGTATGAGAACAACATTTTCAATTTTTCTCTGTATATTGAATTGCAGGATAACAAGTGACCATAAATCATTGCAGAAAGTGTTGATGGCATCTAGAGCTACTAGCACTGTTGCGAAATACAGGAAAGCGTTTGAAGATTGGAAGTCATGGTGTGCTATAAACTGTGTGTGTGAGTTACCGGCACAAAAGGCGGATATCGCAAGGTATTATATGAGCATGTATAATAATGATGCACCCTATTCAAGGATTGAAGGAGCACATTTTGGTATTAAATGGTTTCTTGACTGCTCGCCAGTAACCGAGGTGAATCCCTGTAATTCAAGATTTTTGCATCTACTTCTTGCAGGCCTGAAAAGAATTCTAGCTCATCCAAAATGTAAGAAGGAACCTATAACTCCAGACATTCTGAATAAACTTGTCAATAAGTATGGTTGTTCTAATTGTTTAAAGGAAGCCAGATTGTGTTCTATGACACTGTTAGCTTATGCAGGCTTTTTTAGGCACGCTGAGCTAGTGGAGCTCAGAGAGTGTGATATTTCTGTACATACTTCACATGTCAAATGTTTCATTCAGCATAGTAAAACTGACCAATATAGAGAAGGTGCCTGGGTGATTATTGCTGCAACAGGTAAACCTACCTGTCCAGTTGCCATGTTGAATAAATATATGTTATTAGGTGACATCATTCCAGGTTCTTCAGAGGAATACCTTTTCCGCCCATTGACGCTCAAGAAATCCTTGAAGAAATATGTTTTGAGAGGGGGCAAATTGTCTTATACAACATGCCGTGATCTTTTTAAGGCTGCCTTATCGTCAATAGGGTTAGATTCTTCATACTTTGGCTTGCATAGCCTTAGGGCAGGTGGTGCCTCTGCGGCAGCTGCCTTAGGTATATCTGATCGTCTTTTCAAGAAACATGGAAGGTGGAAATCTGATTCTGCTAAGGATGGTTATGTAAAAGAATCGTTTAAGAACCAGCTCAGTGTATCTCTTAATATTGGTATCTAGCTGAGTCTGAGAAGGTATAGTAGGAATTCACAATTTCCTAATGTTATTATGTTAAAATCTTAAAGTGGACGATATTCGCCAGTGTGCAGGTTTGTTAATATGGTTGAACTATTGTAATGTTCAATGGATTGTTAAGTAATTTGACAGTTATGCTATGAATTGTATTAATGGATTTCGGATGGACTGATATGACTATGGACTACTGTAACCTGTGATCTTTTGGATTCAGTTTGGATAATAAACTAATACGATGTGTTTGCAAATTATAGTGTCTGTCCCGTTCTTTAAACCTTGAAATGGGGGGAAACATAGCGGAGGTGTCCGCAGCCGTCCTAGATGAGCGGTGCTCCCCTAAGTGTTTGGAAAGTAATTGTATATGTTTTCTTCAGCAGGTGGGTGAAAGCGCGATGGAAAATAATTTATTTTCGTTTGAACAGCGTGAATTAGAAAATAAATCAACTATTAGTTGCAGCAATATTTCTTTGTTGCGGTGTATTGCTCTGTATCTAAACAGAATTTTTTTCTCTGTTTCGCTATCGTTTCCCCTTTTTTAAATAAATAATTCCCATTCAATTTTAATTATGAAGTTTGAATTTCCATTAACATCTTAATTATATTTCTAAATTAACTTCATATTTGCTCGATTTATAAAACAAAGTGATATCATTTTCAATTCAACTGACATAGAAATCAGAAAATAACACTTATACAAACCGGGATTAAATCAGGTCACTTTAAGAAAAGGCGCTTAAGAGTTTAACATTTTAAAAACGTCACCACCTTTCCTTTCCTCCAAAACCGTCTTTTGGTAAGTTCTATTCTGTGTCAGTGTAATCGAGAAGGAATGCACTTTGTTTCATTAATTAAATCTAGATAATATGATTAATTGAGAAAATATAATTAAGATGTGAGAGGAAAGTTGAATTTCATCATAATATTGAATTGGATTTATCATTAAAAAAAGGAAATGACAGAGAAAGAGAGAAAAGGGTCCGGTTTATAGACACAAAGCAATACACCGCAACAGAGAAATATTGCTGCAAATAATAGATGATAAAGTGCGCGTCGTGACGAGCGGGAGGCAAAGAGGTAGGAGGAGGAGAGAGAGAGAGAGAGAGAAGGCCAAAGGTGAGAGGGAGATGGAGAGAGAGAGGTAGAGAGGGGGACAGTAAAGATGAAAGTGGATGCAGAGAGAAAAGATACATTGGAATGGGAGGATGAGAAAGGGTTTTCAGCCTTAAACTCTAGCAACAATCAAAATTAAAGAAGAAAAACTTAACACTTCTTGATAGAGGTAGGTATCTGTTTTAGAAGTTGTCACCCTCCCCATCCCAGCATTACACCTGGGATGGGGGGGGGGGGGAGTATTCAGTTCATCCGATAATTGCATTGTACATGTACAATCCCAAAAAGGAAAAAAGATGCAAGTGGACGACAAAATAAATATTGTTCAACTCATGTGTTCATTTCTTTCACAATTTCACAGCTCAAGTAATGCAACCAATAAAAACATACATAAATACAGATGTACTAACTCCTACAGTTGCAGGATTTGTAAGTTACCACACAAAAATAAATCTTGCCATGAATAATATTCAGATAGGCTTTAAAATATATTTCAACACTTAAATGTCTGGAACGGTATATACATGTAGAGCCAATTCATTGCTTTGTGAAGATTTAAATTCACCTAAAATGTAATTAAATTGTAATGATAAGGTTGGGTCATTCAAAGAATCTATCAGATAGGTTTTTCCTAATTTTTATCGTTGATAATGGTCTGTTGTCACTCAAACTTTCAGATTAGCTTTATTAGTACATCTAGAATTGAAGTCACTACATTAGCACCATTTCTGATCATCTAAACAATGTTACAAACTCCCTTTAATATGGCATATTCTCAAGAAAAATAAATCGGGACAGATTGATTTGTCACATACTAAGCGTGGATTTAAACGTGCAACAGGGGATTAAATCTTTGACATGGGATGAAACCTTTGACATGGGAATAAATCTTTGAAATGGGATGAAACCTTGATATGGGGTTAAACCTTTGAAATGGGATAAATCCTTTGACATGGTATTAAACCTTTGACAAGGGAACTAGGTATCTTCATCCCGGTTCGGAGGTTGATTACAACAGCTCTCCATTTCACTCTATCCTCTACCATTCTGGTGCAATCTTGCAGTTTTAGTCCACTCCAGTTGATTCTGGGTCTCCCTCTAGGTCTACTTCCTTCCACTCTTCCTTACAATACATCCTTTAATTAAGAGGCTTTGGTGCCTTTTAACACGACAAAAGTTTTTGATTTTCTCTCCTTAACTAATCCTACAAGTGCAATTTGTTTACGCCCCGTCATGTGCAATATCTCTTTGTTGGTTATCATTACTTTCCAGAATATTTTCATCATTCTTCTGTAAATCCACATTTCAAAAGATTTTATTCTATTTCCCATGGCCTTGTTTTTTGTTTATGTTCCTGCTCCATACAATGGGACAGACCATACATAACAGTTTACTAGTCTCAACCTAAGCGTAAATTTTACCTTTCTATTTGTGAATAATCCTTTCATTGCCAGAAAAGTATTCCGAGCAATTTCTGCTTCGCATCTGGCATCATCTGTGACATTTTGTTCTAATTAGATGTAATTATTGACCTGCTCACTGATATGTCCATAGAGTTCCAAACGTATTCTAGGCTTATTCTCTGCCCTACTAAAAATCATTTAGTAGTTTTCTTGACATTCATGCTTAGACCAAACTCTTCACGTTTGACTTTTACAATATCCAATACATGTTGTAAATCTTCTTGATTCTCTGCGCAAAGTACAGTGTCATCAGCCAGGATAACGCAAATTATTGATAATTAAACCCCAAGGCTAACACCTTTCATATCTGTAATTTCCCTAAATACCAACTCTGTGCACAAGTTAAACAGAGATGGGGACATTACGCATCCCTGACGTACTCCTCTTTTGATTTTTGTGTAACCTGTAATTTCATTATTAATTTTGATGCCAGCTGTCTGCTCCCAGTAAGTTTAGATATGAAACGTATGTTCTTTTCATCTAAACAAATTTGTTGTAAACTTTCAATCAATTTGTCGTGGTGAATTTTGTCGAATGCTTTAGAGAAGTCAATAAAGCACACATATATTTCTTTATTTACTGTAATATACCTTTCTGTCATCATTCTCATACAAAATATTGCTTCTCTAGTACAACTTTGAGGCCTAAAACAAACCTGTTCCTTTATAGTCTAGATGAAAGATAAAATGTCATTATTACCCGTATCAGACATCTGAGCGGTGGTTTTACTATAGTATTAATGACTGCTTTGAGAGAAATAGTTGTTTTGATACGCTCAAGGGAACGAGAGCGTATAAAAACAACTATTTCTCGAATATTAAAGCAGTCATTAATACTTTTATAAGCCGAAAAAAAGAGTTAACTTATGACACCATCTTGGCCTTTATCTAGTTTGTCTGCACGGTTGTTTTTTTTATGAGTGTATTTTTGAGAGTAGACTAAAAAAAAAAAAAATTGTTTTTTTTTGTCGAAGATGGGATTTGATCTCTTGCGTATCAACGATGATGTGACTAAAATCACAGCCTTAGACCGTTCGGCCATCGCGCACTGATACCATCCCTTCAGTTTTCTCTGATTTATACATTAAAATGGACTGAAAACGGCTTCGCGTGCTGGATGCTTCGCAGCAGCTCCATTAAACGGGACCTTCTTTTACTTTTGCAATGCATTTGCACGAACTTAGATCAAGATCTATCGGCAAATGTTGTTTTTGGAAGTTTATTTTCGTCTTCATGTCAACAATGCAAGATAAAATTGTCGGTAAGATCGATCGAGATTCAATTGTATTGAAATTACCGACCAATTCATCGCACACGTACGGTATCCTCGATCGCTCAGACCATTTTTTAACATGTAAACCTATGGGAATTTCACCAAGACTGAACTATTTTCCCAGTAACCATGGTAACTGGGATTTTAGAACTATTTTTTTGAACTATTACATGGGTTTGGAATTTTACCGGGAATTTTAAAGGAATAGTTGAACTTTATGAATGCAATTTCGACCAATCAGATAGCTGGATTTCTTAAGTGAGGTGTATAAAAAAAATCATATTACACTTGCTGGTAATCCTAAAAGGGCTAATCGGGGAATATGAGACTATATTTACCTTTCATAAAAAAAGCCTATGGACTTTACGTGTTAAAAAAGCATGAAATATAAGACCATATTCACCGCGCCGTATTTTGTCATTTTCATTGCGCATCTATTATGCGTACGAGAACATGCGCACTTTGCGCGTACTCTAAACATTATGACGTAATAGTCACACCAAATTGGGAACACTGTTTGCAGTGTATCGACAATTTTGTCAAGCAGGTGGATGCACAGTGCTGGTTTGACAAAGCTTGTTCAGTTTTATGAGATTGTCATGTATGTATTTGCTCTAGATGTCTGATTTAGATAACAATAACAATATTGACTGGCTTAACTTTCGGGAGATACCACATATATTTCCCTCACAAGAACCATATTGCCCTCGTCTTTGACTCGGGGCAATATGAGTGTAGTTTGGGAAATATTATGTGGTATCTCCCTCAAGGCCAGTCCATATTATATAATTAATTTACTATATATGAATAATAAAATGAATAAGGAATGAAAAAAGATTCAAAAGAGTACCAGAGAATAAGAGTTGCAATATACCTTAAAATATGTGTAGATTATACCATAGAATTATTTATTTTCAGTGTTGTTTTTGAGATGGGCACCCCCCGGATATTTTCATATGATAATTCATAAAAATACACCCCTATAATATTCTTATAAAAATACACCTCTATAATATTCTTATAAAAATACACCCCTATAATATTCTTATAAAAATACACCTCTATAATATTCTTATACAAATACACCCCTATAATATTCTTATAAAAATACACCTCTATAATATTATTTTAAAAATACGATGTTATGAAATTTTTGTCCAATGTTTTAGGCGTTAGCGCAATAGTAACAAATTACAAAACTGCAACATTCCAAACGTTAAACATATGGTCTAAACTATTCAGTTTACACATTCGAAGACAGAATTTTTTCTAGAAATTAATATAGGTCTGAGAATTAGACTAAACTTCTAACTATGGTTTCCTGCCTTGGCAGATTACCCGTAGGCCTACTCCCTTCGATGAGTTTACAATATGGAAATCAACGCGTATAATCAGTATAGCTATAGTGGAAAATACTTAACTCATAGCCTGCCATAAGGCTGCATGCACGCTATCGTTATAGTGCTTTGTACATGCGAGAGAGCCACCGCTTGAGTGCCATGTGCGTGCAATGCAGCATTCGTAATAGCAGTTATTGTTCATGCTCATTGGACTGTGCAGTGTATTTTGCACTCGCTATTCATAGAACCATCGTGTTAATCAGATTATCTCCAAAACAACCTGGCACGGGAGAATTTGGGGCTTGGCACAATGGGGACTAGCCCTGTGGCATGATAAGAGTTAATATAAACATGGCATATTTTCATAAAATCTTCAAATATAAAAACCGATAAACCCCAGTTTAAAATGTGTAAAAAGATCATAGCTGTATGATTTGTGTTTTTTTTTTTTTGCCCATAAATGACATGTGTTGGCACTGCCCATCGACTGAAAAGTGATCAGGAAAGAAATATGAAGGGGTCGAAGCTTAACACTACTTAGGGCGCGTTTATGCTTCACTTTTGAAGGTAGAATGAGCGATTTGTAACGCTCATCGTAAACGCTCATCGTAATCGCAGTTCCACGGTGTACTGTTCATGCTCACTTCTCTGGCTCCTACAGGCAATGCTCCGTGTGTGGCCTTAATTGGTATTCCAGCTGGATTCGCAAACCTTCACTGTGTATGCTACGTAGACCCACTAGAGGTCAGTGCGTTGACCCCATTTAAACGCGTTTACAAATTGTAAACGCATCTTTTTGTGAGTTTACGATCGGCGATCGTGATCGCCGTTTTTCGGTGATTCTACAAAAGTGAGCATGGACGCAACGGTGTTTTAAACTAAACGCGTAACAGATGCCTGATTCTGGCCAGAAAAAGTGAAGCATAAACACGCCCTTAGTCAGGATGTAATCGTCTTTGATCTTGACGAAGAGGGCTTCCTGAAACACGTATAGCGGACAAGTAGCCTAACGCCTAAATTAACAGTCAAGAAATGAGACTCGTGACGGTTTCGAGAAACGGGCCGCAGGTTCCTCTGCGTCCATTAACAATCTTCTGTTGTCCCGGCCATGATCGGGATCGTCGTCAGAACAGCTGCAGCACTTGTGCGAGATTTTCAGGAACATCCCCTCGATGTAACGATACATGATCGCCCAAACGAAGCCTTCCAGAGGCGTCACGAGGCTGAATATAGTCAAGATACCACGCACGTCTTTCAGGGTCTCTTCGTTCTCTGAGAGGTACCTCTCCGAGAGCTGGCTGGCGAAGTAGACATTCGGCATACCGACGGCGAGCGAGACCGCGCAGCAGACATTGAACGGGAGGCTGGCGATGAGAGCAATTACGATCCCGCATACAAAGCCGATCGGTGGTAAGGATACGGTGCCAACCCAGATTTGCCAGTCCACCATGTAATATTCGGGGTTGGTGATGCCATTTAGGACAGGGGTGGTGACGGCGGCAATCCAGAAGGCATTGCTGCAGATCTGAGAGAAAGAAGATGGGGAGGTGCAAGAAAGAGAGAGAGAAAAAAAAAAGGGTGAGAAATTGAGATCCAGAGATTGATAGATAGATCAAGAAAGAAAGAGACAGAGACGGAGAGAGTGAGAGAGAGAGAGAAAAAAACTAGGATACAATTTCAGAGACATGCAGAGACAAATCGAGGGTGTGGTTTTTGTCCAAATTACCATCTACCATGGTTACCATGGTGGATGGTAATTTGTCCATGGAACCGTGGTGACCATGGGTTTTTTCATAAGGGCGTGCGCGCGCGGATCGATCGAGAGAGACAGAAACGGCGAGAATCCATGCTGAGAAAAGAGGAAATACAGAGGATATAGGCGATAATAATCATGTAATATCTCATTTAACTTGCCTGGGAGGGGGGGGGGGGGTAGTTGTCCGGGGGGGGGGGGGGGGGTAGTTGTCTGGGGGTAGTTGTCCTAGGGGGTAGTTGACTGGGGTGGATGTCCGGGGGTAGTTGTCCGGGGTTAGTTGTCCTGGGGGAAGTTGTCCTAGGGGGCAGTTGTCCTAGAGGGTGGTTGCCCTAAGGGGTAGTTGACTGGGGGTGGTTATCCGGGGGTGGATGTCGAGGGGGTAGGTGTTCCGGAGGTAGTTAATGTCCCAGACGGTATAGTTGTCCAGGGGTAGCTGTCTGGGTCAGGCGCGGATCCAGGGGGGGGGGGGGCCGAGCGGGCCTTGCCCCCCCCCCCCCGCAAAAAAAAAAAAAAAAAAAAAGAAGAAGAAAGGAAAAGAATGGAAAGGGAAAAAGGAGAAAAAGGGAAAGAAAGAAGAGGAAGAAGAAAAGAAAAGGGGGAAGAAGGAGATCGGGGGCCGAAAGGGCCTTGCCTCCCAGGCTGTTTACCCCCCCCCCCCCCCATCAAAAAAAAATAAGAGAGAAGGAAGGAAAGGGAAAGAAAAAAGGAAAAGAGGAGATACTGGCGTACTGATAGAGGGGGGGGGGGGGGGGGCTTGGGGGAAATCAAATTCAAACGTCGTTTATTTCTAGTTCCACAACGGTGGATTACAAATAATGCTGAAATGACATAATTTCCGAAATTTTTCCTCACTTTTGAGTAAATTATACGTTTGTATGTGTTTGTTGAAAAATGACAAATTCCTAAATTTACAACTAGGCAAAAAATATGATTCTTGAGATTCGTACATGTCAGGGACCGAGGTACAGCGGGGATCGAGAGCCTCGAGCTCCCCCCCCCCCCCCCCACTTTTCTTGACAAAGTATATCAAAGAGAAATAAAATAGAATGAGAGCAAGAAAGTGAGAATAGTTAACTGCCAGTGTTAACAAAATAATGAGGCATCAAAATGTGCTCATCTGACCGTGATTAAATGCCTAAAACCCTTAAGCTTCCGGGGGCTTTGCCCCCTGGATTCCATCTAGGGCCCTACTGCGGGCCCTTAGATGATAATCTGACGGTAATTTAATGCCTAAAACCCCTGATTTTTTGGGGCTCCGCCCCCTGTACCCCACGCCAAATAGTGACTTGCCAGTGTCACAAAATAATAAAGTATTCATAAAAATGTGCTCATCTGACCTTTATTAAACGCCTAAAACCCCTGAGCTTCCGGGGCCGGCTCCGCCGCACAGTGGGCCAGGAAGGAACCAAAGTGCGCCAAAACTCTTGTTTGGGGATTTCTTTTTTATAAATCCAGAGAAAATGTTTGGATTTCCAGGGATTTTCGCTTAAATTGTATTACCAACATTTTCTCTGATGTCTAAGCTTTAAGTTGATACCAGATTTGGCTGCCTGATTCTGCCCGTTATTATGTTAGTGCTGTTTTCCTTGCAACATTGCCACAAAAAATGTGTTTATTTTGGTCCGCGGTGTCCGAACAAGTGTCACGCGCCCCCTCGCGCCGTGATTTATGACCACAAATCCTTCATGATTCATCCGCGGACCCCCAAAATCCACATTTTCGGGGCAATGTGGCAAGGGAAATCGGCTCTAACATAACAACGGGCAAGATCGGGCAGCCAAATTTGGTATCAACTTGAAGCTTAGACATTAGAGGAAAGGGTGGTATTAAAATGTAAGCGGTACACCGCGGAGATCTAAACATTTCTTCTGGATTTATAAAAAACATGGATAATTAGCCCATTTTTCAGTGAATTACACAATAATATATCATGAAGATTGTGTTTCTATTAATTTTAACCCATTCATTCAACGAAATGACCTATCAGGAATATGTGAGAGCAATTTCATATCAATAACTTAAAAACTTCATGTTGAATTGAAAGATTTATAAAATAAGTCACTTTTGCACTAAAACTGTGAATATGTAGGATTTTGCTGTTTGAAGTAGTAAATTTATACCCTTATTGTGCATACCGGAATTAAATATTTCACTGAGGTATTCCTCTATGTATTACCTTTCAACTGGGCAAGAAAAAAATTGAAATAAATAAATCACCTAAATTTAGTTTTGGCGCACTTTGGTCCCTCCCTGGCCCACTGTGCGCCGCCTCGACCCCACCAGGGGCCCTGAGGCGGGCCCCTGAATGCTTATCTGATCGTAATTTATTGCCTTAAACCCCTGAGCTTGCGGGGTCGGACAAGGTATCAAGATGTGTTTATCTGACCGCAGGCGCGTAGCCGGGGGGGGGGGGGGGGGGGGTCCCCCTCCAATCGGAAGAGGACGTAGGAAGAAAAAGGAGCAGACAAAGAACATCTTTGAAATTCAGACAAGGATTAAGAGTATAGAGAACGGTACAATGCATCGTTTTCTTTCTCTAATAATAAAACGTCAAAGCCTCGCGCAGGAGGGGTGGGGGGGGGGGGGGGGGGGGGGACTGAATTCAGACGAGGATTCAGAGGCGAGAACGGTAATACGAATCTTTAATGATTTAATGAAACGTAATAGCTTCTGCGCTTCGCGCGGGATGGAGGGGGAACTAAATTCCGATGAGCTTTATTTTCGAGAACGGTACAATGAATCGTCTTCTTCTCTAACGATTAAATGAAGATTAAATGATTCGGCACTTTGCGCGGGAGGGGAAAACCTGAATTCAGACGAGGATTAAGAGTCAAGAACTGTACAACGAATCGTCTTCTTTCTCTAATGATTTAATGAAACGTAGAAGCTTCCACGCTTCGCGCAGGAGCGGGAAGGGGATGGGGACTAATTTTAGACAAGGATTAAGAGTCGAGAACTGTACAACGAATCGTTTTCTTCCTCTAATGATTTAATAAAACGTAAGAGCTTCCGCACTTCGCGCGGGAGGGGGGGGGGACTGAATTCAGACGAGGATTAAGAGTCGAGAACGGTACAACGAATCGTCTTCTTTCTTTAATAGTTTAATGCAACGTAGAAGCTTCCGCGCTTCGCGCAGGAGGGGGAGGGGGGGGGGGGGGGACTGAATTTAGACGAGGATTAAGAGTCGAGAACTGTACAACGACTTGTTTTCTTTCTCTAATAATTTAATGAAACGTAAAAGCTTCCGCCCTTCGCGCGGGAGGGGGGAAACTGAAATCAGACGAGGATAAAGGGTCGAGAACGGTACAACGAATCGTCTTCTTTCTTTAATAATTTAATGAAACGTAGAAGCTTCCGCGCTTCGCGCAGGAGGGGGAGGGGGGGGGGGGACTGAATTTAGACGAGGATTAAGAGTCGAGAACTGTACAACGACTTGTTTTCTTTCTCTAATGATTTAATGAAACGTAAAAGCTTCCGCCCTTCGCGCGGGAGGGGGGAAACTGAAATCAGACGAGGATAAAGGGTCGAGAACGGTACAACGAATCGTCTTCTTTCTTTAAAAGTTTAATTAAACGTCAAAGCTTCCGCGATTCGCGCAGGAGGGGGAGGGGGGGGGGGACTGAATTTAGACAAGGATTAAGAGTCGAGAACTCTACAACGATCGTCTTCTATCTATAATAATTTAATAAATCGCGGGAGGGGAAAAACTAAATTCAGACGAGAATTATTTTCGAGAACGGTACAACGAATCGTCTTCTTTCTCTAATAATATAATGACACTTCAAAGCCTGGGAGGGGGGAACTCGCCCCCCTTGCACCGACTCCCCCCCCCCCGTATTACGCCACTGTTGGTCGCCATTACGTACCAATATTTGGCTCGCATAATTTCAAATTTGGGCCCCCCCCCTAAGAAATCCTGGATCCGCGCCTGGTCTGGGTGGTAGTTATCCTAGGGGGTAGTTAACTAGGGCTTGTTATCCGGAGGTGGATGTCCGGGGGGTAATTGACCAGGGTGAAATTGTCCTAGGGGGTAGTTGTCTCGGGGGTAGTCGTCCTAGAGGGTGGTTGCCCTACAGGGTTAGTTGTTCTAGGGGGTAGTTGTCCTAAGAGGTAGTTGGGAGTGGTTATCCGGGGGTGCATGGATGTCCAGGGGGTAGGTGTCCTAGAACCAATTAGGACTAAATGTCTCCGTTTCAGCGTTGAGGGTGTGTTATTTTCTCAGCTGATTGGGCGCGCGACCCGGAAGCAGTCCAGACAGTGGACTTCGTACATGTAACTCACAAGCCTACCTTTGCCATCAGCCTTCCCTTGACTTTTCCGTACTTCTTCTGGTACAGCACACCCAGGATAGTAGGTACGACTAACAACAGCTCGGCCAAGGCGAGGTCAAGTGGTGTGGGGATGACGAAATACTCATGTGTCCAGTTACTGGCATAGAAGGAAAACCACAACGGGATGAGTCCGACGGAGAGGGCGGTAGAGAACATGGCCATACACATCCTGTACGTGAAGCGGACAAAATAAAAAGTGAATTCATGCATATAATTATCCTATCGCTGAAAGGACGTTGTAAAGCCATTGATTTTTTTTTTCTTGTTATAATTTTTTTATTCAGAGATACAAAATCACGGATGACATCATGCATACTTCTTTACAACAAGCAATTCATCACATGTTTAAATTAGATAAAATTATATATCTTATAGATTATAAATGCTTTTCGATTCTGTAAGTCATTGATTTACTTTATCCACTAGTAGTATTCGCATCTATTATCTAAGTGTTATTCAACTTCTAGTCTGTATGTAAACATAAACAAGAAATGTTGTCCATTATTATAATAGCCATTGAAAATACATGTTGATGGTAAACATTTTACAGAAAACAGATGGATTAAAATTGTTAGTTATTCCAGTCGGTATATAACGTTTCATTTTCATGATCATGTGTCATCCAGTAAACTTTAAGCGACGTTAGCAGCCCCGTCAGACGGATATATAGAATAAGAAGAAGACGAAGAAGTAGTAGAAGAAGAAGAAGAAGAAGAAGAAGAAGAAGAAGAAGAAGTAGAAGAAGAAGAAGAAGTAGAAGAAGAAGAAGAAGAAGAGGAAACAGAGGAAGAAAAGGAGTAGAACGACGACAAAGAGGAGGAAGTTAAAAAAAAACAAAAAAAAACAGTCGTGTATCTTTTGAATCAATTGATTAATCGATCATAATTCTACGACCAGGGACTCTTGCCCTAAACAACCTTACCTCTTTCCCCTTTATTTCATTTCCCGATTTACCCGCCTTTATATAGCGACCTCCCCTCTCCTCTCTTTCCTCCCTCCCCTCCCCTCCCCCTCCTTCTCCTCTCCTCCCCTTCCCTCTCCTCTCCTCCCCTCCCTCTCCTCCCCTCCCCTCCCCTCCCCCTCCCCTCCCCTCCCCTCTCCTCCCTCCCCTCTCCTCCCCTCCCCTCTTCTCCCCTCCCCTCCCTTCTCCTCTCCTCCCCTCTCCTCTCCTCCCCACTCCCCTCCCCTCCCCTCTCCTCTCCTCCCCTCCCCTCTCCTCCCCTCCCCTCCCCTCTCCTCCCCTCCCCTCTCATCCCCTCCCCTCTTCTCCCCTCCCCTCTCCTCCCCTCCCCTCCCCTCTCCTCCCCTCCCCTCCCCTCTCCTCCCCTCCCCTCCCCTCCCCTCTTCTCCCCTCCCCTCCCTCCCCTCCCCTCTTCTCCCCTCTCCTCTCCTTCCCTCCCCTCCCCTCCCCTCTTCTCCCCTCCCCTGCCTCCCCTCTCTTCTCCCCTCCCCTCTCCTCCCTCCCCTCTCCTCTTCTCCCCTTTCCTCTCCTCCCCTCCCCTCTTCTCCCCTCCCCTCCCCTCTCCTCCCCCACTCCCCACCCCTCTCCTCCCCTCCCTTCTCCTCTCCTCCCTTCTCCCCTCCCCTCCCCTCCCCTCCCTTCTACTCTCCTCCCCTTCACCTCCCCTCTCCTCCCCCACTCCCCTCCCCTCTCTTGTTCCGGACCCCACGGAAGACCAGCTTTCCCATGTCGGGTTAGCTGAATGTGGGCTATCCATCGTATTTTATGCATTTTTACTATGTTTTTTATACGAAAATAAATACTACTACTACTACTACTACCTCTCCTCCCCTCCCTTCTCCTCTCTTCCCTCCCCTCCCCTCCCCTCCCCTCCCCTCTCCTCCCCTTCCCCTCTCCTCCCCTCTTCTCCCTTCCCTCTTCACCCAATCAATCTCCCTCTCCCATCATCTAGCCTCAGGGTCAGTCAAAGTGGGATAATCTCCCTAAGAAAACTCCGAATATCATAAATATTTGGATCTAGGTATAGATTTGGAAAGACTGCATGTTCTTTTTTTTTTTACGAACCCCACAATGATGACGCCGTCGCCGTAGTAGACGAGGATGGCACACAAAGGCGACACCGGGGAGCAAGCCAACATGATCATAGCCAAAGCCTCGTTGGCAGACATGTCGAGGAGAAGCGCGAGGCCGTAGCCGATGACGGGTTGGAATAGGGACAGGAAGGCGAGTCCAATGATGATGCTCTTGGAAAGATGCGCTTTCTTGTCTGAGACGTATTTGATCGAGATGACGCAACCCATGCCGAAGAGCGCGACGAAAATGCCTGCGTTGATGATATATACTCGGGCCGACGCAAGGAACGATACCAAGATCTATTTGGGAGAGGGAGGAAATTAGGGACAATTGTGCTTTGCGTTAAATATGTGGGCCCGAATTCACAAAGGAGGTTTGTGGACAATCCTAGGTTTATGTGCGTCATATGACGCGTTTAGATGCATTCAGACCAAGGTTCAGACAAACCTTGGTCTGAAACGCGTCACATGACGCACATGAACCTAGGTTTGTCTACAAACATCCTTTGTGAATTCGGGCCGTGATCTTTGCTAATCGAAATCCATACAACATAACATTCCCTACTCCTTCATCAATAGCAACAAAGAGTTATTATGCAAGTGTGAAACAGTTAGGGAAAAGGGACGGTAGGGATTAAAGGCACACCGTCCTACTTGTAGCTACTTGCTCCCTCTATATAGAAAACTTCCCAAATCGGTGCCTGTTGGTCCCCCATGATCCTTTTTTCTTTTCTTATGTTAGTTGAGAGCTGAGTTAATGAGATAGCCACCTGTCAGTGACCTCGCTGTGTGGTCTAATCCCCCTCTGGCCCAGTAGTAGTGACAGTCTTTAAGTCACATTTCGATCTTGGTTACGTTCAGTCATACAATTTCAGAAAGCATGATGTTCACACAATAATTGTAGAGGTGTTGGGTTAGTGGATACGTCTCTGGACTATAAAGCACAATGTACGTGGTTCGAATCCCTGCCACTGAACGTCCAGTGGCCAGACTCCATTAATCTACATGAATTTGTCACTCTTGACCCAGAAATACGTAGTAGGCCTATGCACTTAGCGCTATATTTTGCTGCATCTAAAGCCGTGGTTATAATATCCAAAGTCTTTATTAAATTTAATCTCATATATAATATCACAATGCTTTAATAGACGATATACAAGGACGTTGTATCACAATGCGTTATGCGCTATACAAGGACATTACGATTATTATCACAACGCGCTATAGTTGCGCTATTCAAGGACGAAAGAAATTAATGCACCTTAAAGCCTATCTGCACTAGTTTGGCCGGGGGGGGGGGGGGGATAAGACCTCCCTGCGTGGTCACTGACAGGTGTTTATCTCATCAAATCAACTCTTAATTAACGTAAGAAAAAGTGGATCATGGGGGATCAAGGCGTACGTCTTATGCATTGTTGGCTACTTGGCTATATAGAAGGAGCAAGTAGCTACAAGTAGTGCAGTCCCGCTTAAAACATTCTTTTCGATTCTATTCGACCCCGTCCTTTTTGTTGTTGAAAAAAATCCTGGATCCGCCCCAACAAAACTTACCTCACCAATGTCTTGGGCATCCTCCGGGGAAACGTTGTTGGTCAAGTTTGAGTGAATGACCTCCATAATGATATGAAAGAAACCACGTCACAATCTGAGGAAGAGCAGGACAGGGTCAGGTCATTTGAACAAAAAATGTGATAATAATAATAGTGATGTTTTTTTAACATACCTATCCAAATTACATCTCATGTTAAAAACAATCATTACGAAATTTTGTACTGATTATAGCACAGTGTTAGTCATAATTATATTTATGTATCAGACTCTACAGTTTTGAATTTGTGTAAATTATGTCTGCCATTGTTATGTATCTGTTTGTATCTTTATTTGTACTTGAAATCCAACCACAATTTTTGTTTGCAATAAATAAATATTTTTTTTATGAAGATATATTTATTATCATCTCCCCCCACCCCGAGAGTCAAGATAAAAGGGACACTTATCAGAGGTGCAAAGGGGAAGTGATACTTTTACAAAAATCTATAGGAGCACTTTTCTAATTAATAGGGGCACATTTCATATGTAAGAAGGGGCACTTATTGCAAAGATAAAGGGGCACTTTTCCTATGTAAAATGGGTCACGTTGGGGTACTTGAAAAAGTGGGGGCACTGTGCCCCCCCCCCCCGGGAGGGCGGCCTCTGCATGGTATTACCATGATACCGTCAGTACTGTAGCTACCACGGCTCTATACCGTGTGAGTCAAAAAAAAGTTTACACCTTGCTAATTGCTAATTATTTTTAAAATCATCTATGAACGGTAAATTATGATACATCTTATGAAAGAGCGTTTTATCCCACATCAGTTGGTATCATTTTTGTGTGGTATGTGTTCAAGCTTGTATGAACAGGAGGCATTGTTTGCGAGAGGGCAACAATCGATTTGCGCCAACGTGATGCCTACAGTATAAGTGAGAGAATGAATTGAATGTATCAAGTGAGATGCATTGGCATTGCATATGCTTTTTGCAGAAGCAAAGTCACAAACACAAACACACACACGCGCACAAATGTTCGTTAATATCTGATATTAGATATTTGATATGTGTTGCATGATTAATTTTGTTAGGGATGTTATTTGGATCTGCAATGACCGAATTAATACCCAAATTCCAATTGTTGTATTCAAACATCACATATACGCAACTTTGGCGCAAGTCGATTTTTGCACTCTCGCAAACAATGCCTCCTGTTCATCCAATCGTGAACACATACCACACAAAAATGATACTAAATGATTCGGGATAAAATACTCTTTTATAAGATATATAATAATTTACTGTTTAAAGATGATTTATGAAATATTTAGCAATTTTCTAGGAATAAACTTTGTTTGGACTCACACTGTATATGTAGTGTACCTTAATAATTGTACCGTGACCAAGATACCGTGTAGGCCTACCATGGCAATTCTAATGGTGCCAGGTAAAAATGTCTGAGGTAAAAATGTCAGAGGTAAAAATGTCAGAGGAAAAAATGTCAGAGGTAAAAATGTCAGAGGTAAAAATGTCAGAGGTAAAAATGTCAGAGGTAAAAATGTCAGAGGTAAAAATGTCAGAGGAAAAAATATCAGAGGTAAAAATGTCAGAGGAAAAAATGTCAGAGGAAAAAATATCAGAGGTAAAAATGTCAGAGGTAAAAATGTCAGAGGTAAAAATGTCAGGGGTAAAAATGTCAGAGGAAAAAATGTCAGAGGTAAAAATGTCAGAGGTACAAGCAAAACAAATGAGTGCCGTCATAATATCTCAGCACTTTTATCACTCAGAATGTCGAGACGTACAGCTACTGCATGGGCTAGTCTATTATATTCCTTTCTAAATGGATGTGTTGTATATCGTACATGTCCTGAGGATAATATAATGTGGAAAATAGATTTTGAAATTTATTTTTTTGTGGAAGCAATCAGAGAAGGTTAATCATCTAGCATAAACATGTAAGTATTGGTGTGTAGTGCAAGGTTTTGGAGTCATCAAAATGATACAAAATTTGGCCCAGTCTTGGTAAAGTAACAAGCACTGTACACAGAAAGATATTGATATGGGACTACACAAACATATGGCATACAAATCGGGCAGCCATACAAAGATGTTACTTGTTATATCTGGGATATGAAGTCATTTGAAATAGATTTTCAGGGAATGACTTTTTTCTTTGATGTTCTATCACACTTGCATTGAACGCTCACAAATATTTTTTTTTACCTTTCCCCAGAACTCAACCTTCTCTTTAATTGATGTAACATGTGCGGCTTTCTGCTTTGTATCGGAGTAACAAAGCTGCTTATTGATTTTCTCCCAGACTATTTTATACCGCAATGGTAATCGACAATATTTTATTGCAACGCGCGCACTTCGGGAATGTGATGGTGCGGTTAGCATTGATAACATGGCTTTCTGCTTGTTTCAGAGTATCAAAATACCAAGCCCTCAAGAAAGTGGAATTGTCGGAAATATGCATTTATTGGAAATTACATATAATAGTAGACATTGCCACGCAGTTAAAATGTCCAACAATCTTCAAATATGAAGGAGAAGTAGGAGGGGGAAGGTTCATAGATATCTGATCCTATTTTGGGGGCTGTACTGACTCTTCTTTTTATTTAATGATTACACCATGGAGCGACAACTCAGCCTATAAAATATGGCCAAACTTCTCGATTTTAGAAATCTTTTTCCCCGAAGTTTGCTCAGTGTACCAGTACCATTTGCTTATACAAAAACATAATATACCGGTATATAAATATTGAATAAGGCAGACTAATGGGACATGGATGGTGTACTCCGAGTTTCACGCCTTGCAAGCGGTCATCAGACAACTGATAGCATTCTTCAAAGTACATGATTCCTCTACAACCAGGGCTCAAATTAATTTTTTGTCCACGGGGGCTCTTCCCCCCAAAAAGAGCCCCCGTGAGCCTTCTCACGGGGGCTCTTTTAGTACTGACGGGGGCTCTCTGTTATACAAATATCCATTGAATTGGTACCTATGATACTCCTCAATTATTTGCTATTTCATCATTATCATTTCAATCAGCATTTTCCCTCTTACAAATTTACAAGCTACATAGCTGTTACTGGCCTGTGTATATAATATATACGTATACAACACTGATCTTTATGATGTCTTTAACGTGACATATCTTCTTCTCCCCTTGCAAACGAGAAAGAAAACAAGGTCATTAAAAGGGATTAAGCGACAAATAATGATTGTGATTCAAATTGATGCGAATATTTGTTTGAATAAGCACTGCTATTCACCCGAATCTTCTTTGTAAAAACAACTTTTACAAATCTCAGCCATGCTTACTGAGTTGAGACGTTCCATTCAATGTAAAATACTCATTACAGAATACACTTCTCCTAATCTGAAAGTAATCTTACAACACAGTGGCAGATTTGCATGGCTTAGATTTGTAAAAGTCGTTTTTACAAAGAAGATTCTGGTGAAAAGCATTGTTTATTCAAAAAAATCCTTGCATCAATTTGAATCACAATGATTATTTGTCGCATGATCCTTTTATTAAATAACCTTGTTTTTTTTTTAATGATTACACCATGGAGCGACAACTCAGCCTATAAAACATGGTCAAACTTCTCGATTTTAGAAATCTTTTTCCCCAGAAGTTTGCTCAGTGTACCAGTACCATTTGCTTATACAAAAACATAATATACCGGTATATAAATATTGAATAAGGCAGACTAATGGGACATGGATGGTGTACTCCGACTTTCACAGCTTGCCAGCGGTCATCAGACAACTGATAGCATGCTTCAAAGTACAAGATTCCTCTACAAAGACTACAACCTTGGTATACGCTCAAAATAAGACTTAACTAATACAATAAGACAGCGGTGAAATAACGACTGCAGAATATCCCTCGCTGTTCTTTTTCGATAAGCCTGATATATAACCCGGGTGTAAACATAACAAACTTGTCACATGCTTTTGTTTTTATTTTATACCTCTAACATTTTTACCTCTGACATTTTAAACTCTGACATTTTTACCTCTGACATTTTTTCCTCTGACATTTTTACCTCTGACATTTTTTCCTCTGACATTTTTACCTCTGACATTTTTACCTCTGACATTTTTACCTCTGACATTTTACCTCTGACATTTTTACCTCTGACATTTTTACCTCTGACATTTTACCTCTGACATTTTTACCTCTGACATTTTTTCCTCTGACATTTTTACCTCTGACATTTTTTCCTCTGACATTTTTACCTCTGACATTTTTACCTCTGACATTTTTACCTCTGAAATTTTAAACTCTGACATTTTTACCTCTGACATTTTTACCTCTGACATTTTTACCTCTGACATTTTTACCTCTGACATTTTTTCCACTGACATTTTTACACCGAGCCATTCTAATAAAGGGACTGAATTTGTTGAATTTATGTGCGATCTTTATAACTGATTCCCTGTTTTATCTCATTCAATCTTAATATTATGTGTACTTACTTCCTCAAAACCAAATAAACATTTAAACATCAACCAATTCAAAATATTGATTTAAAAAAAGAAATAGAAATTCATATATGCAAACCTGATCACAAAATACAAGTTTTTAAATTATTTTTTCACATTTCATTATCCTCAAGATATGTACGAAGTACAATATACAGTCATTTATAAAATATACATTATGATATGGAAGAAGGGAATATAATATACTAGCCCAGTAGCTTACATCTCGACGTTTTATGTGATAAATTGCTGAGGTATTATGACGACACTGATTTCTACTCCGACATTTGTTTGTTCCTCTGCCATTTTTGTTGCACCTCTGACATTTTTACCTTTGACATTATTACCTCTGAAATTTTTACTTGGCAACTTTAAGCTATGGTATTATATTGATTATTACATTTCGTATTAAGGTTTTGATTTTTGTTTCGTTAGTCAATTCAATCCATTGCAACTAGTTGGACAGAGTCGACCGCTTCTTGATTGACATATGCTAGTCATTTGGAACCAACTTTTAGTTATGAAAAGATTTAACAATATGTGTGTGGGTAGTATATTCATTCCATACAATTTTAGAGTTCTTCTTTATTTCCTTCTTCTTCTTCTTCTTCTTCTTCTTCTTTTTCTCCCTCCTCCTTCTCTTCTGATTAAAATTGTATCCTTTTTCTTCTTCCTCCTCCTTCTTCTTCCTCCTCCTCCTTCTTCCCTTCCTCTACTTCTATTTTTTCTCCTTCTTTCTCGTCTAATAATTCTCTTCTCTTTCTCCTCCACCTCCTTTTTTTCTTTTCATTCTCCTCCTTCTTCTACATTTTTCTTCTTATTAGGAGTAGCTAGTATTTTTCCTTCAACCCTGAAGATTCTTGCAGTACTTTATGAGGAATATTGGCTGCATATATTGTTTGCAGCCAATATGTGCATACATGTGTGCCAATATTTCATAAGGAGGAACAAGTAAAAATCGCCTTTGATCTATTGCAAGTTTTCTTCATTCTTTTTAATCATAACATCTGATCAGATTATTTTTGGTTTACTTACCAAGCAAATGTCTTTAGTAGATTTCCGTCAATGCTCCTTGTACCATCGTATGTATAGTGAGTTCCAAGGTAATTCGATCTATGGCCCACTTTTTACTTACCAAGCAAATGTCTTTAGTAGATTTCCGTCAATGCTCCTTGTACCATCGTATGTATAGTGAGTTCCAAGGTAATTCGATCTATGACCCACTTGTCAACATGCTAGACAGATTCACTAAAAATTAAACGAGTTCCAAGTCAAGTCAACAAATTTGTTTAAATGCAAACTTAAAGCATTCTTTTAAAGAGCCACGCAATATGAAAAGTTTGGGATACTTTCAAAATTGATAAGTCAATAATAACATTTCCTACACATTTTTCTGCTTTTAGCGTGCTGTGCTCTCGTTTGATAGCAGTACACTGAAATCAGCTTATAAAATCCCGTAATGCATGGTTCCTCGCTTTTTCTCTATCGAATGCAACATAAACCACTTTTTAAGGTCTTTTTGTGAGTTCTATAATTATGTAACGTTTCACTTCGGAATCCTGATCCTTATTTACTGTGTCTATTCAGGCCTGGCTTGTTGTTGTTGTTGTTTTGATTGATGGCGTTTCCATCGTATGGATGATTTTCGCCAAAATTCACGTAGAACCATTTATAGTCCACGCGAATAAACGGGAACGGTTCAGTGGTTTTGTATAAAACTTAAGAATAAACAGTGGTTTTGGAATGCCCATGCAGACACAGGGCTAGGTTGAACGGTTTGTTAGTTATTTTGTTTTGGGGGATACTGTTCGGTGGTTTAGTATCATTCTTAAGATTAAACAGTGGTTTTGGAATGTCCAGTTATACATGGCTATAAGTGAAACTTTTCTTTTTTCTTTTAACAAAGATTCATACGAGAATTGGTGACTTAACCTGTATAAATTTGTGTGTGGGGGTATGTGAATAAAGATTGTAAAAACGTGTTCAATCATCACACAACATAACTATAATCTATACGAGAAAGCAAGTTGCATTGACAATAAAATACATGATAAACTGTATTCCCTTTTCGGATTTTTGATTGAGGTATAAATATGAGAGACTATACACTTGCAAAGTGTAGTCATGCAAGCAAATAAATGAATCTGTAACGACTATATAATGTAATTGTAGCGACTCATACATTCGCACTACTTACTTTTACTGTACATTAAAGATAAAGACCAGTTATGGTCATGCGATTGCATTGTGAAAGAAACGTTGTGAAATCGATCAGAAAAGGTTGATCATCTGGCATAGGTGTACGGCAAGGTTCTGGAATCATCAAAATGATAAGAAATTTGGCCAAGTCTTCATAAAGTTAGAAGCACTGTACACAGAAAGATGTATATGGGACTACACACACGTGCGCGACACGTGCATTTCATATCTCTCAACAGGCGAGAGATACACTAATTTACTAAATATATCAATTAGTAGGCGGTTTCCCGTCAAATTTTGTTATCATCATGTAATATTCAAAACATATTCTTTCACATGATTGGTAATAAGAGCTTCCATTTCATTTTTTGAAATTGGGGCGTTTCCAATTCTGGTCTTTATCTTTATCTTTAAGATATGTTTCTACTATTTTTTCCATCACGCTACTAATTATTTGTATTCATTATTCGGACCACGTGTGTTTATTCCTTCAATCACGTATCGTGGTTCCGTGCATCGTTCAACCCCGCGTTTTTCAACGCCACGAGATTTTTCTTCACTGCTGCACCTCAGTCGAGTCAACAACTCCTACCAACATCTCAGTTGAGTCATGACGTCTCTGCATGGTTTTCTCTCCGGGCTGATTCTCTTCCGTGCCTATCACCTCTTTTACGGCACGTCAACTCTTTCTCTGCCGTCTTCAACGGGCTGGCGCCGGCAGTCTTCTAGTGGAACGATTTAACCAGGACCGACATGGCGCCTGATTCTGGGAGCTGCAAGTTTCTTCACCGGTAGCCTTTAACCCGCATGAGCTCGACTCACTGCAGTTCATCTAAACATTCATCATCAAAGTTCGGCGCATCAATCGAGCGACTCACTGCTCAGCATCAATGCCGGTTTTGATGTCTGTATTTCAACCTTGGCCTCCGACATCGAACGACTCACTGTTTCGTCTTCAAGCGCCACATTTATTCTTTTCTCTTCTCACCTGAGAGTTTCATCATCATCATCATCATCATCATCATCATCATCATCACGAGCGTCAGCGTAGAGATCTTTCACGGCTTTTCAGCCACGACAACGAAGCTGCATCTCCGCCCTCGTATGAAGCCTCCGCATCGTCATCACGTTAGCCCCTTCCTTCGTTTCATCCGTCATCATCTTCATTGGACTTTCGACTTAATTTCTACCATTGTCGTAAATAAGCTATATTAATTTACTGCATTCAACTTTATCCGCCAACTACGGAGATGTCTCTCATCTTCCTAAACCGTTTCACGAAGAGCTTACTAGCTATGATATCTTGCGAAATAGATACTATCGGCGAGAAGAGGAGCCAATTAGACAAGGCCTTAGGCAAAATTCCAACAGATTTATAAAAAATATAATATTAGGAAAAAAGCTATATTCATTTACTGCATTTAACTTTATCCGCCAACTACGGAGATTTCTCTCATATTCCTTAACCGTTTCACGAAGAGCTTACTAGCTATGATATCTTGCGAAATCGATACTATCGGCGGGAAGAGGAGCCATAACATGGCCATAGGCAAAATTCAAACAGATTTATGAAAGAATAATACTAGGAAAACTGCAATCATTTAAATGAATATGGATTTTTTTTTTTTTTTTAAAGAGTGAAATTAGTATCAGCTAGGAATAAGAGATGCGATATATTTCAAAATTTGTGTAGATTAAACCACATAATTATTTGTAAAAAACAATTGTGAGTATTTCATTTCATGCCCGATGAATCAGTTTTGTTTTTGAGATGGGTACCCCCCGGATATTTTCATTTGATAGTTTATGAAAAAAAAACACCCACATATTATTTTTAGTAAACATACGATGATATGAAAGTTTTGTCCAATGTCTATGTCTAAACTTCAACATCCCAAACGTTTAAACACATGTTTTAAACTATTCAGTTTACACATTTGAAGATAAAATTTATCTCAAATTTAATGTAGGTCTGAAAACTAGAGAATACACTCTTAACTATGGCTTGCCTGCCATGTCACATTACCTATCCCTTCGAGGATTTAACAATGTGGAAATAAACGCGTATAATCAGTGTAATTAAGTGGAAATTAAAAGCCTTTCTAAAGATTTTCAAGTAAAAAAAGTGAATGTGAAAAAGATCATAACTGGAGGATTTCTTGTCCTTTTTAGCCAGCCAAAGTCTACCCAATAAATGACATGTAATGGCGTTGCCCATCGACTAAAATTTATGACAGAGATATGACAATGTCGGAAGCGTCATAACTACTTTAAATAGTCAGAATGTTGTCGTTGATCTTGGCAAAGAGGGCTTCGTGAAACACGTAGCGGATAAGTAGCTAACGCTGATTTTTAGTCAAGAAGTTAGACTTATGACGGTTTCGAGAAACGGGTCCCTGGACTCTCTCAGGATTTGCAGGATTCCTGTAGGCATTGGATAAAACATTTATTTACAAGGGCCGGTCCCACCTGAATGATATCGATAACTATACACTATAGCCGTTTACGTGTTAACATGTTCCTATCGTCCATACCGTGTTTCATAGACGCAGGCTAGGTCAAAATGGAAAATACTACAACCCTCGGATAAGACTTTCTTTGGAGGCCTCTTGTGAATGAGAGTTGTCACATTTCGGCGTTGAGAACCCAATGAAGTATAAATCAGGGAAAACCACGGTGTAGTGGTCCACCTCACCACCTGCACAACCCAGTCATTTTTTTTTCGGACGGCGAGACGCGAGGCTTCCAGTGGTACTAGTTTTACGCCTCTACCGAAGTGGGGCAAGATTGTGTTATTTTGTTTTGCAGTTTAACAGAAAATCGTATATCTTCATACTGCAAACAATTTTTTTTTTTACCAGATTGGCCACCTTAAGCATACTAGTACTACACATCATAGGCACTGTGTTTCGACAAACAACATGATTATGAATTTGGAGGACCCTTGGAACATTGATGGTAAGTTGTCATTATAAGCATTCTCGAAATTAATCAATTGATGATAACATTGATATAAAATGATAGAAAATGGCCCTATATGATTAATAAGGCATACATCAAACAAATTCCCTATTTTAATCTGAAATTAACGGGCAATCCAACTTGTTTCGTGTTATGAATACTTTGAGGCCCAAACACCATGAAAACTGTTGCAGAGCATAATCAGAGCGCTACTGCATGGGCTGCGCATGCGATCAACTTGCCCAAACATCGCGCTTATTCAAGGCTTGCCTGATCGGCTACACATTTATAGAACGTGACCCCCCCCCCCCCCATCCCCCTCCCAAGAAAAAGAACGAGGGCCCTTTATGAAACCGCGGGGTCTCTCATTTGAATATTGTCTAAATGTTGACATAAATGGCTCGATAGCAAGAGATTTGAAAAGTGATTTTCTTAAAGGTAATACACAGTTTGGGGAAATTTTGAAAATTGGGTGGATAGTGATCTATAAAATTTTGATATATTTGGATGCCCCTGTGGATGTATTATAAGCACTAAAAAAATTAGCCCCTAAAACACTACTGTTTTCGAGAAAAAATGAATATAAAAATTTACCGGTGCTCCCGGTAAATTTGTGTTAAATTTCAAATAGTGCCTATGGCCGTGCAATGGTAGCTGCGACCATGAAAATCTCAGAATATTTAGTTGTGATATATAATTTCCAAACGGGAATAGCTAATCGGTCGATTTTAGTCAAGAAACATTGTTTCATAGCTAAATTAATATTTTGACCTTGAGAGGGAGCTATACAACATAAAGAGTTTATTATTTATAATTTCATAACTTTAGACTCGATTTCAACCGCGACAACGATCAATGAATATTGTAGGAACGCATAGTTATGCTTCCAATATGTTAATTTGAACCAAATTTATGACCCTTTACCAAAACTTTGTAATACCTTTAAGCGGATTATACGAGATAATTTTTTTTTGGCAATAGGCAATGGAATGCATTCTACATCTCTTCGAACACTATTTCAAAAAAGTATACATGTTATTCAAAATCAGTTAGCGGTATAATTTTTTGTTTAATCTATCTTTGAGCTTAGGCTCATTTCGTTTCTTATTAAACTACTCGCTATTTTATATATATGAAATATGAAAGCATTAGATTCGAAATAATCACTTAGGAATAATACCCATGATTTTTCGTTGTTTTGATAAACGTGCATATGTTATTCTGAGGCTTCTGTGTACATTGTATGGTCTGTGCAGAGCTACGGTCAATTTAATTTGAAAATAAATAACATATGCTCAAACATTATCATTAAAAATGTATGAACAAGTTGAAAACATTCAGTTCAATGGCGTCCGTTAAGGATTTACAAGTAATCAATTAAAAAATCAAGTTAACTTCTCGCTAATGTGATTGTATTGTGAGAGAAGAAGAGATGACATAAAATTATCAGATTTTTGAGACCTGGGCCCCGTCTTACAAAGAGTTGATATCAATCGCAACTACATGTATGTACATAAGAGATAGGAGCCTGCATACTTGCGATTGATTGGAGGACTTACGATTGACTTGGATCAATCGTAACTCTTTGTAAGGCGGAGGCCCTGATCATTAAATCTACCTGAAAGTCACATGCACTTTAGACAGAAATGAGTATATCGACTACACACACTAGTGGCATGAAAGTCTGTCTGAACCTGGACCCTGTTTCATGAAACTTGATATCAATACCAGGTTACAAGCTACTGTTATAAGCTACTGAAACCATGGCATCTGATTGGCTGAGAGCAAATTTGTCATATAGATTTAGCCTATGTTATAGATAAAAAAGTTTTATGAAACGGGACCCTGATCCATGTTATGTCGCATAACAGTGACGTTATCTGCAGATTTTTTGTTTAGGTTCGTACAGCTCTCAAGACGTGTTGAAAGGCAGCCTAATGACACGGACTTTAGTCTGAATTGTTAACAGTAACTAGTTCATAGAATATAATTAGGCATTTTATCTGCTTTGCTACGGATGCTTGTTAAAGTCAATAATGACATTTCCAAATATAAGGCAGATAAACACATAAAACGTATACTATACAAATAAATTATAGATAATTAAAAGAGTAAGATAAATAAGATAATAATTCGCATTTTTGCAGAATTGCACGTCCACAACCCAGGCCACTTCAAGAGGAAAATATATCATGGGTGACAAGGGTTATGTATAATCAATAGAAGTACGTTATAAAGATTCCCTCTTTTAATCTTCAAGAGGTCCCATTCGCATAATGAAACGTAGTAGATGTTTTATAGGGCGTTGAAATTGACTATCAACCGTTAATATCTTGCACAGCGAATTTTACAAATATTAGTGCTGCATAAGTCTTCTTTTTGAGCGGTTAACAGGTCTTCCGAAGATCGAAGAAATACCTGCGAATGATCATTCTTGCACTGACACAATTTCGATTATTTCCCTTTCATGAAGAGTAAATCTATATAAAGTACTTCTAGTGATCAAAAGTTTTGTGTGTGAATCTGTGCGTTTTACTTTAAGACATATCCGGACTGGCCTGGTGAACTCCTTGTTTAATGTCATCAGTCTCAGCCGAGATCGTATGACTGGTTGCAAATTTATGGGCCGCCGATAGGGCCAATATAAACAAACACAAAAACCGACAAAGATGCATTCAGACAAACAAAGGTCAGAGCAAAATAGACAAAGCAACCAGAAGAAAGGACAATTTTACAAATAAAAACAAAGGACAAAGCAATAGACAAAGCGACGAGAAGGACAAATTCAGTTCGTACAATGCACTATGTCTGTTTCAAATCATCCTTTCTCTTTCTTCGTGATTGATGTCTATTTGCTTACCGTAAACCCAAAACGCCCTCTGTTGTCCTTTGAGGGTCAGTTCGTACGATGCTGTTATGTTTGTTTCAGTTCATCCTTTGCTTGTGAATTTGACCTTCTCGTCGCTTTGTTTATTGCTTTGTCCTTTGTATGTTTGTAAAATTGTCCTTTCTTCTGGTTGCTTTGTCTATTTTGCTTTGACCTTCGTTTGTTTGCTTTTTAATTGTCCTTTCTTCTGGTTGCTTTGTCTATTTTGCTTTGACCTTCGTTTGTTTGCTTGGTAATTGTCCTTTCTTCTGGGTACTTTGTCTATTTTGCTTTGACCTTCGTTTGTTTGCTTGTTAATTGTCCTTTCTTCTGGGTACTTTGTCTATTTGCTCTGATCTTTGTGTGTTTGAATGCATCTTTGTCTTTTTTTGTGGTTGTTAATATTGTCCCAAACGGCGGCCCATACAAATTTACCTGCCGAAATACTAAACATCATAATTATTACTAATGAAGAGAGCTGCTAGAAAACTACGTTAGCCCATTGATTAGCTTCGTCATGTCAATCTTCCCTAGGTTCCAAATTATCTACTCTAATCACTGGAATCCAACATCCAAACAAGTGAGTACAGGCCTAAATTTTATGTTGCTAAAGTTATACACTACCTGTCTATAGATCCAAAATCCCAAAGGTGCTTAATGCACTTTTGACATATCTTTTTTTTAATGAATATATTTATCAAACATAATGAGAAATAATCGCTATATGTATTGGATATTAAAAACGTGCTTGTCGAAAGTTAGTCAATTTTGATTACAGATTTGTGTTTCCTTCAAAGGGAATTGATTCCACTGGGGTGATCACGAATTTGTTAATTGATTTGAATTATGATTTTTTTTTCTTCAATATTGTATATGGTGCATTTTACCAGCCTCGACGATGAGTGCAATCTTTCAATAAATTAACGTTTTCAAATTATTTCAATGATTTCTTAAATAATTTGTTAGATGTATCTTTTTTTGTCGGATGAAACATCTAACAGCGTTGTTTCTAGAGGATTTTTTCCCCAATCGACACCGGAAATATAGTAAAAAATGCTCTGCTAGCTGTATTGATATGTTTTCTTCCTGTACGGCCATGCATTATGGCTCAAGGCATGGGCACACATCAGATTTGTTTCTGGTGGGGACCGGGGGGGGGGGATTCAATGAATTATTGATAATTTATTGCATTTTCTTTGTTTTTTTTTATTTGTGGGAACTGCCCCCTACCCTAACCCCCGCTGCCTACAGTCAGGGTTCAGTGGCAAAGCAATGGCCTCTTAACTGTGAGACCCCACGATCAAAACCGTGTCGATTTGCTATATTAGTGCCCTTTTGCGGGGCATTAATCCTCCTTACTGTCATTTATGACTTAAGGGCGTAGGTCCTCAAGTTGATAATCATAGTAGCATACACATGCTTTAGCAGTGACGCAAAACAAACACTGGCAAATTATTATTCAATAACATCTGAGAATGTATACTGTTGTGTTATCTAGATCTATTAGGAATAAATCATTGTCAAAATAATTCCATAAATTGGGGTAAAACAAAAATATTCCAACTTTATGAGCAACAGTGTATGTTTTATGTAATAAACATTATTCTTTCTTCTATTTTTAGTTTATCTTAGTCTAATTCAAAGAACATACATGGTAAACAATCAAAACATGCATCAAACTTATACAGCAAAGGCCAAAGACTCCACGTAGTGGTTACGAGTTTCTGTTTATATTTTGGGGACATACTACAATCGCCTACGTCACATTATTTTGGGCGTGTTTTTTTTGGGGGGGGGGGGGGCGTGGGGGTGGGGGGGGGGGGCGGTTACAACTTATTTAAGTATTAACAAAATCTGAAATTAATGTTTTCCAAATTCCTGAGGTCATTAGCATTCCATTGATATATAGTTATATTTTTTTTATAAAATGGCTAGCTGTTTTAAGAGTTGCAAGGTCTTATTTATCGTAATGAGCAAACGATATACTGTACTACCATACGTAAGACCTTGGAACTCTTAAAGCAGCTAGCCATTTTATAACAAAATATAACTATATATCAATGGAATGCTAATGACCTCAGGAATTTGGAAAACATTATTTCAGATCTTGCAATTTGCAATCTGGGGAGAAGCTCGCATTAGACGTTACACAGTTACAAATGCCACAGGGGCAATTTTCATTTGGGGGTAGTTGTCCTCGAGGGTAATTGCCCTCGGGGGGTAATTATCCTCGGGGGTAGTTGTCCTTGGGGGTAATTTTTCGGGTGTAATTTTCCGGGGGGTTAATGTCCTTGGGTAGGGGGTAGTTGTCCTCGAGGGATAATTCTCCGGGGGGTAATTTTCCGGGGGGGTAATTTTCCGGGGGTAATTGTCCTTGCGGGTAGTTTTCCGGGGGGTGATTTTTCGGGGGCCATAATATTGGCAATGAGATCGATATGTAGTTTAAGTAGTCTTTACGTACATCATATTCATATTACGTATGAGGGAACCACACTAATGAAGCGTTTGGGGCTTCTTTTAATTGTAACAAAATGTTTCATATGTTTTTATAAATTGTAATAGATAATTCATGCATTTATTCATTCATTCTATCCGATTCTTACGCAGGTATGGCCATGAGGAAATCGCGTTTCTGTATGCTGCTTCTTACGGGCGCTTTGGGATACATCCAGCTCATATACCTGATGATGAGTGTTGATTTTCAACCTTGTAATGTGAAGCATTCGAATTTGGAAAGGGTGCATGGGGCTGAGTCCACCAGCTGCCCCCGCAAGGTTCATCTTTGGGCAAGAGATGCCGGTGAGTTGGGATATTCCCAAGGCATCCATGAGATCAAATGCCCCGGAAGTACTTGCGATGTACAGCTGTCCGTTGATATGACCCTCGAGACTATGCAAAAGAATGAGGCTCTTATCTTATTTCATTGGTCCAAGTGGGACTGGGAGACGTTGCATTGTCATCGGCCATGGGGCCAGAAGTGGGTGTTCTACACGCTCGAGAGTCCGCTCAACACCAAAGAGCACGTCGTTCCTCCCACCAGATACTACAGCAACACATATGACTATATCATGTCATTTCGGTACGATTCAGACTTTCGGGCAGATTACGGACAATACCTCGCAGGGAAACCTGAGCTCGAGGCTAACGTCACGAGAAATTGGGCTAAGAATCGTTCCAGGCTGGTCGTCTGGATGGCCTCGAACTGTAAAAAGACAACCTGGCCAAGACAGGACTTTGTGAATAGATTGGCGAGGCAAGTAAAGCCTCGTTCAGATATGCGATGTCATTAAACCGTTGCGTTTTTTGTTGTTGTTTTGTCTATGATGAAGTAACTGTAATACGTTTTACATACCTGTATCTTATAAAAACATGTATAAAAACCCCGGCCCCCCCCCCCCACTCAGAGGTTGGAATGACCGCATGCGTGTTGCCAAAATGTCCGGTAAAGGGGTACTTTTCGTGCGACAAAGTCCGGCCCGAGATTTGTAAAAAAAAAGGGGTGTATTTGACTTTTCACCCGGAGATTTCTTTAAAAAGGGGGTGTTTTTCTTTTTTTCTCTCATCTCTTTGGAATCCTGAGAAATTATTCCGAATTTAGGGGGGGGGGTACATTGAGCATTTTTCCTGATTTAGGGGGGTCTCCAAGGCAGGAAAAGCGCGCAAAAAGCCCGCGAAAGGGGGGTTCGGAAATGTTGGCAGTCCTCAGATAGGGGGTGCTTTCAAAAAGAGGGTACGAGCATATGCGTACCCTAAATAACACTGAGTGGGGGGCCGGGATAAAAACAGAGCTCGCCGAGTAGCCGAGAAGCCTGTTTCAAATCGGGCAAAGCTAGTTTTCCATGCAATCGAAACCGGGCTGACCAGATCAAACTTTAAAAAAAAAAAAGCAGAAGCACGAAGTTGCAAACCATCCAGAGACTCCTGATGAATTGCGTTACTGACTAATTAATTATGTCATCACAAAATCTCAGTTTTCTTATGTATAACTGATTTTCTTATAAAACTGAAGATATGGCGTATATATTCAATACTGAATGGACGCCATTAAACTATTACCAACAACAACAACAACAACAACAGAGCTCAGTGAATAAGCGCAAGTAAGGCCTTTGTTTGGCGCAGTTTGCCAGTTATTCACATGTAGATGAGAAACACGGCGTCAGTTTATTTTGCTTTTTTGCGGCCGTTTTTTAATACCACATCGTTTCTGCATGAACAAGCCTTTACACTTCAAAACGTTGGCGGAGTGCATGTCGCCTGTTTGGAACTTGGAGGGCATTATAAGCTCACCGTACTTTCACCCAGAGACGACGCCCTACTTTGTCCCTGAACAGACGATCATATATCATACTTTCATAATACGGAACGGATCGGAGGGGGAGGGAGAAACACGTCTGAATATCATATAAGTGTATGTACATGACATCAGGCACGTAGCCAGAGTTTGATGTTTGGGGGGGGGGGGGGGGCACATACATGTAATCGATCGAGGTCAAAAAAGTTCAACCGTGCCCCCCCCCCCCTCCCCTGTGGCTACGTGCCTGCATATGACATACACGAATTCGATATCTATTACGTAACGAAAATGTTGATTAGATAGTGTACCGAAGAGTACCGACAAAATGTAGAAATTCTATGATACACGCAGAAACATTATTGTGATAATGCCAACTGTTCACGATTCACAGACCTCAAACTAAAGATAAAGAACAGTTATGGTTATGCGATTGCATTGTGAAAGAAACGTTGTGGAATCGATCAGAAAAGGTTGATCATCTAGCATATAAGTATTGGTGTGTAATGGAAGGTTATGGAATCATCAAAATGATAAGAAATTTGGCCCAGTCTTGGTAAAGTTACAAGCACGTACTGTACACAGAAAGATGTATATGGGACTACGCGACACGTGCGCGATATCTCTCGAGGTCCAAATAGATATAATAATTTACCAAATTTATCAATTAGTAGGCGGTTTCTCGGCAAAATTTGTATCATCACGTATTAGTCAAAACATATTCTTTCACATGATTGATAATAGGAGCTTCCATTTCATTTTTTGAAAGGGGGGCGTTTCCAAAACTGATCTTTACCTTTAAAGGTCTTTTGGTTTCTTAAATACTTTGCTCTGTTTATCTTACGTTATAGATACATCAATGTGGACATGTATGGCCGCTGTGGAAACCAAACCTGCACAGCTGGCACCGAACATTGCGAGAGGGCGCTCAAGCAGCACAAGTTCTTACTAGCGCTGGAAAACAGCGAGTGCACGGACTATATCACCGAGAAGTTCTGGATCCAAGCCCTCTACAGGGAAATAGTCCCAATCGTCTTCGGGCCTCCGCGGAGTGATTATGAAAAGGTGTGTTGTTGTTGTTAGTTGGTTTTATTTGCGTTTAGTCAGATCTGACTATTTACGCCTATCTATTTATTTTTCTCCTAACTTTTGTCGATATCGTCGAGTCTGTTAAACACCTTCCCTTTTTCTTTTTTTTTTCTTCCTTTTTTCCTTTAAAAAAAAAAAAGGTGGCACCTCCTAATTCTTTTATCCACATCCAGGACTTCGAAACCGCGCGGGAATTAGGGGAATTTCTGAAGAAAGTGGACGCGGACGACGCCCTCTATGGCAAGTATTTTGAATGGAAAAAGAAAGGTTCTTTGAAACCGTACGGAGGATCCACGCGAAGTATCATGTGTGAGCTTGGAGACCGTCTAGAAGCTGACGCGAAAGCAGTTCGAAATGGAACCTATAAGCCAACGAAACAAAAAGACTGGAAAACATGGTGGCTGGACTCGTGCAAGAAGAAAGGGAGGGTGCCAAAATAACGGTTCGATCGATCGTTCCACTTCAAGTACAGCCTCAAAAAACGTTCTTAATGCCCGCGTCACACTGTCCCGAAGTTGACATAAGTTGGACACACGATGAAGGAAATTCGAACTTCGCACGAAGATGGCACTGAACTTGGTCAGCAGCCAACCAACAGCCGAAGCAAGTACGATGCCTACAGAAGGTCACACGATGGCACCCGAACCACTCACGAAGGCATCACGAAGATGTGAATTTGTAATAAGAAGGCCCCAGGCCACACGAAGGCCACACAATGGCTAATTGTATTGAGAGTACGATGCGTTCCAACTAGGTCATGAAGGCGTCACGTGAACTCCCGATGGTATAAAACCTTCGACCGACGGTGTGAAAATCAATTGTTGATCGGAAATTAATGATGCCCAAATTGGGGGATGGGACCAACAAAAAAGGGCACTTTCTGGAAAAAAAAGGCACATACAAAGGGAAATCTCAAATCGAAAATATACAATTTGTTAGACATTGGTATGTACCCCTATACATTGTGGTTACATTAACAGGGATGCTTTCAATATTTATTTCTCTTTGTACATCATGCAAGATATTGTTTAATCATCATACTTTGCAGTTGGGTATGATGATCTGAATATATTTATATGCGAGCGAGGAAAAATGTTAAGATTTGTGAGGTCGCAGTGCAAAAAATTGCATCTTATAAAGATAATTAAATCCAATACTGATGGGGTTATAGTCACATTCTCATAACGGAAAACTGAAAAGACCTTTGATAAGTAACATAATTATATCATCTATAAAATCAATGCGAGTGAGTGTAGCGAGCGAGCTTCGGGAGAAATCGCCCTAATATTCACTTTAAATTAGGGGCACGTTTGAAAAGAAAAGAAAAGGGGACACTTATCGAAAAGGATAAAACACTTATTTCTCATACCTGAAAAGAAGCACTCACCAGGGATTAAAAAGGCACTTATGAGAATGGTAAATGGGAATTTGTCGACGGAATTGGGGCACCTATCGGATTTTGATAGAGGCATTCATAAGAGTTGAAAATGGGAATTAATGAAAACGGGATAGGTCCCTTATTAGAAAGGAAAAGAGGCACGTATCATTGTTAAAACGGAAATTGTCAGAGGTGTAAAGGGGCATTTATCGCCCCTGAAAATAGGCACTGACTAAATATGAAAAGGGGTACTTATGAGAATGAAAAGGGACACTTTTATTAGGTGAAAAGGGGGCATTACAGAGAAGGGAAACGAGCTCTTTTGTTTTAATGGGGGTACCTATCATACGGAAAAGGGGCACTTATTAGATTGGAAAAGGGGCACACGTGAAAATAAAAGGTGTGCTTATGGGAGGTAAAGCGGATAGTTATTAAAAGGGGAAGAGGCACTTCCTACAAAGGAAAAGAAGCACTGGTCGAAGTAAAAGGGGTACCTCTTAAGTTTGAATAGGGCCTTATCCGAGGTGAATGGGGGCACTTGTCAAAAGTGAAATGGGCACTTTTTAGGATAAAACGAGCCCTTTTGCTCTGTAAAAATTGGCACTTCTTACGAAGTTATAGGGGCACTTTTTCTACGTAAGAAAGGGCACTTTTGGGGTACTTGAAAAAAGCCTCCGGCTATGAGGCTGGCTTTTTATATTCATTTATTCATTCATTCGAAATGGTTTATTTCAAATAAAACTTTCATCGTGGCGTTTAGCCGGATTACAAAAGTTTATAAACAAAATTAAAAACACATAATGTAATATAAAACATTGCATAACATGATATATTGAATCTGAAAAACAAATCAGTACAGATACGAGAAATAAAGCTGATTGCAACATATGTCCACATTATCATGACAAATGGGAAACGCTTGAGCTACTTAAATTCGGCTGTCTTCGCCGACTCACCGTGGTCCAATCTGGATGTCATCGTAATATAACACGATGGCTACACGTGCTCTTATTCTTATCAATGAAATTTCTAGTGTCCTTTGATCTGAACTAAAATTGCTAAGAAGGTAATTTTAGACCCCAAACTGTCTTAAATTTAGCCAATACGATCATACCAATTTAGCTCCATTTTCCCCAAAATACGGTGACCGTTAATTAATCAATTAATTAATAACTACAATACATGGGCCGGTTGGTTGGGCTTAATATAACCAACACGAAAAAAAGCCAACGAAAAAGCCAGCATTGGCATTGGTTGAAATACAACGTAAAAGGCGCTAATTCGTTTTGTCAACGGCTTTTTTCAAATTATCGAATATTTGTGGTGGTACACAAAAAATTAGAAATCGTTATATTTAAGGATATTTCAGCCGCCTCTGAACCGACTTTGATCCAACAAAGATGATTTTGTCATTTAAATTGTATGTTCTTTCAAAAGACACTCCGTTTTTCGTTATCTCACAAAAAAATTATTTTGTGTAGCGCCCTCTGCAACAGAACTCAACTATCCCTTTAATAAAACTGATTATTTGAGAAACATTGTTAGTGTCATTTGTTGGTGGTAGTCCTAAGGTAAAAGTATAAACCAAAAGTTTTTTGCTTTATTTTGCTTTGTAATCCTGTTCTGGTTGTTCCAATTTTTTTGGTTGTTTCACAACTAGGCATTGTGGCGTGCGCCTAGCTGTAATCCAACTAAAAGTGGAAGTTACAAACTAAGTTTAGCTGAGGACGCATGTTCGAAACTGAGTCACGTCTTTCGGATGGTGACGTTATAAAGTTCGGTCCCCAGTCGTAAATAATCATATCTGATTGATACACGTCTGTAAAAACCCAATATACACACACACATTCCAATTTTTTTTGGTCCACTTTGCCCCAGGTTCCCTTATATATCGATGAATAAAGTGTATGAAAATGAGAATAGGGAAAGGGATTACATGTAGAAGAACGAGAGTTTACCATATTTACTAAATGTTCGAAGAAATTTGTTGTTTTCCGTTTTTTGTCAATTACAGTTTATATTAGTTTTCTTATTTAGCATTTTTGTCATATTGAAGGGCGGGAGAAAAAGAGAGGTAGAAAGGAGAGACCAGAGACAGAGAGAGAGAGAGGGGAAGACATACAAGTGTGAGAGAGCAGATAGGGAAAGAGAGAGAGAGAAGCCTAGGGGCGGGGAAAGGAGGAAGACAGAGATGTAGAGAGGAGATGTGAGGAAGAGAGATGAGGAAGAGAAAGAGAAGATCGGAGGGAGAGAGAGAGGAGCGAGAGAGGAAGGAGATAGAGATTTAGAGGAGATGCGGAAGGAATGAGATAGAGGAGAGGGGAGGGAGAGAGAGATAGAGAGAAGAGAGATAGAGGAAGGAGATAGAGATATAGAGGAAGGAGATAGAGATATAGAGGATAGCGGAGGAAGATATCAAGAGAGGAGAGGGGGGTTGTGGAAGAGAGGGAAAGACAGAGGGAGGGAGGAAATGTGAGAGAGAGGGCGGGAGGAAATGTGAGAGAGAGGGCGGGAGAAAAGGAGGAGAGAGATAGATAGAAAGGGAGATAGAGAGAGGGAGGGAGAGATTGGACAAAGAGAGAAAAGATACTTCAGATCGGGAGGATGAGAAAGGGTTATCAGCATTAAAATCTAGCAACAATCAAAATTAAAGAAGAAAACTTTACATTTCTAGATAGAGGTAGGTACCTGCTTTAGTACAGTGGTCACGTACCCTTCCCATTCCAGCATTATACCTGGGGGGGGGGGGGATTCTTAAGTTTATCCCATAATCGCACTGTACATAAACAATCCATAAAAGGAAAAAAGAGGTGCAAGTGGACGACAAAATAAATATTGTTCAACTTATGTGTTCATTTATTTCACAATTTTTCAGCTCAATATATGCAACCAATAAAAATGCACATGAATTCATATGGACTTGTAAAGTAACCGCACAAAGTTTTGTAAAGTAACCACACAAACATCACCTTGCCATGAATCACATTCAGACTATATATCCAAACTATTTCAGTTGGTGACATAATTAGAAATAATAAATGAAAAAGTAAAAGCACTACAGCAAGAAAAAAGACATACTTATTGAATGTGGAGGCACTCACTCCGACATTTGCAGCATTTGTAACACACACCAAAAATATTGAAATGTCTTTTTCTTTGTTGTTGCTTTTTTTAAATCTTAATTTAATGAAAACAAAATATTTTAAATCTTTTTAGATAGAAGTTGACTTTTTTTTTGTTCTAAATTTTTTTCAAAATAGTAACAAATTTAGACAATGCAATCTTTCTTGAATAAGACATACAAAAAGTAATACATTCAGTTGGTGACAAACTTCAAAATAATGTTTTGAATAAGACATAGAACAAAGAACAATATTCAGCTATATATCATTGACATTTCAATTAGTAACATAAGTCAAAATAATAAATTCTAAAATAAAGCACATGAGGTTCATTCCATGAGGTTTAGGTTAACAATATGTCCATATAATGTTTTTATGAGAACTTCTACTGCACATGAAATATGGAGTAATCTGTTGAAGATTTTATGGGCAGAATATGTATAGCTAGTGCCCTGCCAGAACCATTCCTGTTACATTTGCTTCTCTTCAAAACCTTTGCTTAATATGCATTTCTTTTTTTACCAGCATTACATGAACATCACATTTAGATCACATTACATAGACCACATTACATACACTTTTTATGCTCAAAGTCAATTTGAGCATTACATACACTTTGGGTCAACAATATTGATGCACCATCGAGCTCGAATACCTCTAAACATTACTTGGCGATATGCTTTTTATGCTAAAAGTCAATTTGAGCTTGCATTTTAATGGTTGGAAGCTAGGAGACATAATTACTCACTTCAGGGGGGTGTTTCACAAACAAACTTAACTCTAAGTTGGACTTAAAAGTTATGGAGAGCCATTTGTAGTCGTATAATGAAATACATTCAAAAGCAAAATTTTCAATTGTTCTAGACTTTTCATAAATTCCACATCAAGACCATGAAATCTCCCATGATAATATAAAATATGAATGATTTTAATTAACATTATATGCCTTTTTAAAATAACTTTTACAAAATATTTTCAAACATGCTAACGGCTTTCCATAATTGTTAAGTCCAAATACTTAGAGATAAGTTCAACTTAGGATCTTTGTGAAACACCCCCTGGTATGAAGTTTTCCTTCTTATCATGGATCCTCAAAGTAACAATCTAGCCCCATTTGTAAAGCATGCATATCAAATCAATAGAAAAACAGGAATATTTAACATGCATCAATGCATGCATTGTGTGACTTCAGTGTGTTAATTCAAGTTATATTACATATTTTTTTCAATTTTTCTTTATTCATTTGTTCTGTTTGTGAAAATGATTTTCGTTTTGTTTTGAGCTTTGTTTATATTCTATATTTGCTGTTTTCATTACTATGATTGTCAGGGAAATCACAGTGTCTTATTGCAAGCCACTGGCTTTTTTAATTACACATTTTTTTTTATCATACATTATATTTTGGTATTTTATGAAATTATATAATAAATGGAACTTGAAAATTAAAAAGTTCATATCATGTAGTCCCAACTAATCACATTTCTGTGTGCAGTGCAACTGTCTGGAAGACTGAGTCAATTTCTTATCATTGCAATGATTCCGAAGCTTAACCCATTGCCTACGAGAAGCTAGTGGTCCATGTACTAGGTTCAAGGTTCATTTTATTTCTTTCTTTCACAACATTTTTACATATAATAATAGAACAAAAAACAGCATAAGAAAAAACAATTTAAGAGCAATTTTAAGTCGATATATAATCCAAATGAAAGAAAGTGGAGACCTTGAAAAGCTGGGCTTGTAAGAGCAAGGTCCCCATAAAACATAATCCATCAATGTTTCACTTTTAAAAATGTTTCAAAGTTATCAAAACTACACATGATTAAATATGGGGGAAATATAAAGTATAAAGTATAAAGCCTATGGAAATTAGAGAATTCAGTAGATAACAGGTTAATAGATCGACTCAAGTACTACTTAAATTATCCTTTCCTTATTGCTTCCATGCAGGAGGTTCCTTTCCCAAAATAATCACTTGACCAGCATACAAACATCCAAAATAGAATCAGATCTTTGTTCTAACCTGCCTATGTCTTTTGACTTGATTAAGATTAATACTACAAGTTAATGACTATTCACAAACAAAAACAAAAAATGTTAGCTAGCTCATTCAAATGATCTGTGTAGTAGCAGTGTCCTCCACAATGCCCTTATAAAAAAAAGTACCATGAAATTACCATGGTTTGATACCATGATTACCATGGTTCTAATGGTGGATGGCAATTTGGACCAAGAACTATGGTACGTTTTTATAAAGGTGCACCAGATGCAAAAAAGCTAAGAGCAACTATTATAAAATGTGTAGCTGGCGTGGTAGGGAGTTACTTCTTCCTGTCTTAATAGACCAGTTCACGGTTAGCACATGGCTGCACTGACCCCGAATATCCACAGATCTTCAAAACATGAAGAGGTCCAACTTTGTACATTTTGAAATAATCACTCCTACAGCGATAGAGGCGCTACATCAATAGCCTTTGTTTCCCTTTTTCAAAGTATACTTCCACCTGTGTAACATGGAGTGCACTGCTTGTGCATAAATGAATAATGATTAAATAACTTTCATCAGCACGTATCCAGTATTTCGTCTCCATGTATTTCACAAAGTGTTCTGCAATGACCTTTATCTGCTCATGCTCAGACTGCAACCGTGAACTGGCTTATTGTGATTTAGTTTTGGCTCTAATAAGGTCATGCATCCTTGTCTCGTAAACCTATCCTTTCTTTTGATGTCTCTGACACCAAATTTGAGGGGCTGGGTGCAATCACGGAAAACCCTTTGAAATCCTCTCTTCCTCTCCCCCTCTTCTGCAACTAACATTCGCATGGCAGCCATGATTGTAATAATTGATTGGGTGTACCGATCGAGGCAACCCAAGCCTGCGATGGATTTCTTATAAGCTGCGATTGATTGTGAATCAATCGCAACTTTACACTGAGCTATGATTGATACAATTGATGCTGGTCAAACAGTTTTTGAGCGTCAAGTAACGCCTAGCTGGAATGCTCCCCAGGGAGTAGAAATTGTGCACACAGTGTGTGCGGGCAAGCACTGAATCCAATGACCGGGTAATAGTGTATTTGTAAAGCGCTTAGAGACATTGTATTAAGCGCTACATAAAAGCTAAATATTATTATTATTATTACTTTCACAGAAGTTGCGATTGATATCAATCGCAACTTTTTATAAGATGGAATCGATATCAATTTAAAAGTTAAGATTGATTCGGATCAATCGTAAGACAAGCCCTCAACTCCACCTTATCTTGAACTATTTCGAGACAGTCATATTCCACAGACTCCATCACTTTAAAAACTTCTTTATTACAAGCAAGGTACCGGCTGCAGCGGCGACAAACACCAACGTAACTTGAAGAGCCCTCTTCACATCTCCTTTGAGCCATCTTGGAGGGGTCGCCATAGGAACGACACGCTCAGTAGAATCTCCTCCTCCTCCTTCTCTGGTGGTGCGCAGCATGGCCCTAAGGGTGGAGTCTCGCAGTCCCTTCAGAAAGCTCATTAAATCTAGGGCGAGATTGAAAAGAAAAATACTACAGTGAAACCTATATATAAAGATCACTCAAGGGAGACAGGAAAAGTGGCCCTTCTAGGCAGGTGGTCTTTAGATACAGGTTTTTAAGCGAGAACAAAATTTGTAGAATTACGATGGTTCTTATGGTGGATAGTAATTTGGACAAGGAACCATGGTAGCCAAGGTTTTCTGTACCGTAGTTACCATGGTTCATTGTCCAAATTACCATTCACCACATGTGGTAACCATGCAGTACCACAGTTACCATGGCTCTTGGTACCACGGTTACCTTGGTTCTTGGTACCATGGTTACCATGGTTCTCTCGTACAATGTCACTACCATAAAGAAAGTCCCTATGCACTAGGCACTATGTGCAATTGCAAACATTTCCAATAGAACTGAACTGTTTTTATAACAAAAGATACTATGACTTTGTTTTGGCATGACACAGTAAAAGTCTGAGAATAAAATGGGACAGAAAGTTGGTTTTTTAAAAAAATGACTTAAAAATAAAAAAAGTCGTAATCACAAAGCATACAGGAAATTCAAATAACAAGCCACTTTGTCTGCAACTTGACCATCCCCTGGGATGAATTTATCTGCAATTTAAATGTAGCTACTGTCATTTCTTATATGAGCAATACACAAATTGCACTTGACCAATTGCTACATCCATCATACCTGTTCCGCCTGTTCCTGTAGCACCCTCGCTTGTGCCAGTGCCAGTCTTCTGATGAGTCATATTGATGATAAACCTGCAAGAAATACATACATGATCAAAATTGGTTATTCTAAAGCCTTGCCCAGATATAACACAGAAAAATGCAATTTTTATTTACCACAAGGTAAGTGCAAGACGCTTCAGATCTATGTATGTCAAAAGGTAAAGACCAGTATTGGAAATGCCCCAATTTCAAAAAATGAAATGGAAGCTCTCATTACCAATCATGTGAAAGAATATGTTTTGACTAATACATGATGATAAAGAATTTGCCGGGAAACCGCCTACTAATTCATATATTTGGTAAATTTGTTTCTCTCATGGTCTGTGAGAGATATAGGGTAGTCCCATATACATCTTTCTGTGTATAGTGCTTGTAACTTTACAAAGAATGGGCCAAATTTCTTATCATTTTGACGATTCCAGAACCTTGCAGATGCTAGATGCTAGATGATCAACCTTTTCTGATCGATTCCACAACGTTTCTTTCACAATGCAATCGCATGACCATAACTGGTCTTTACCTTTAAACGCTTCATATCTGAACGGGTGTTGAAGTACATGTAGGTAGGAAAAACTATATTATAAAATCAAAGGGCAACTACAATTAGTCCAGTTGAAGATTTTGATCAAGTTACCTCAAATTGGCACTAACAGAAAGTGAATACAGGAGAAGGCACATTTTACATGGTTACTACCTGCAGATTCATGTCTCTAAAGGTTTCCATGGCTTGAACAGGGGGTTGCACACTTGAACGTTGAACGCAGTAGTTTCATACCCTATTATCACAATCCTAACTTCAAACCTGGGGGGTGTTTCACAAAGATCCTAAGTTGAACTTATCCTCAAGTTGGACTTTACAGTTATGGAAAGCTATTAGCATCCTTGAAAATATTTTGTAAAAGTTATTTTAAAAGGCATAAAATGTTGATTCAAATCATTCATATTTTCTATTATCATCTGAGATTTCATGATCTTGATGTGGGATTTATGAAAAGTCTAAAATACTTTTATTTTAAGGCTACAAATTGCTCTCCATAATTTTTAAGTCCAACTTGGAGTTAAGTTCGACCTAGGATCTTTGTGAAACACCCCCCTGGACTCAACGCAAAACCAACACTTTGCCTAACCCTAAACCTAAAACCTGATTGTAACCCTAACCCTATAGATTTGGCAAAATGAAGCCCAGAGCTATTGTGGCTGGATCAAATTTCGCAGCACCCGGTGCACTAAAAAAAAGATAATTGGGACCCGTTTCACAAAGCCCTTTTCCAATGACAAATGACGAAAATCAGTGACAAATCTGCTGATAATCAATCAGAAGCAAGGATTTGAGTAGCTTATAACAAAAACTAATTGTCACCTAATGACAAGTCTTGTGAAATGGGGCCCCAGGAGGAATTTACCTGGTCACAATCTTTAGATGAGAGTCTCTGAAAGACTTCATTGCTTGAAGACAATCGTTGTACGTCTCAAGGGCTTCAGGTGAGTCCGATGAATGTACTGATAGGAAAAATAAAGTATGAAAATATTTCACAGCTCATTATTATTTTGATGAAGAATCCCTTTCATGCTGTATTTCAAAGCTTGATACTTTAACATGGAGTGACAATTTTCAAACTTGGGATATTCATCTTTTAATAAAGAGGCCTGATGAGTTTCATCATCTATTTAGTAGAGGTGCCATGGTCTAGCTAGTGGATACGTCACCGGATTGTGGATCTCATGGTTTGGGGTTCGAGTCCGGTTCTGGAACTAATGTCTTTTGGCAAGATATTAATCTACAATTGCCACACCCCACCCAGGTGATGTAAATGGTTACCTGGTGGGAAGAAATTCCTTGAATGCTTGAGCCAGGGTAATAGTATGATTGCAGGGCCCTCAGGGAGAACAGTATTAATACTGATGAGACTGCCCTTGGTAAACAAGACATATTATTATCATTAATATTATTTACAGAGAGAAGGGCCTTAATTCTCAAGTCAAAGTATATGAGTTAACGCCCTTCTGGCTCCAAGCAGATAATTGGACAGTCCTTTGTAGTATTCTAAGATACCATAGAATGCGGAATCAGAAATGGGCTGCTAGATTCAACAGTATAGGAATACATGTGAATAATGGAAGCTGAATAAAGTACCATTCTGAATTCAATCTTGATTCATCTGCTTGTCTTATTTGAGTTATCTCACATACACATCTAACAGTAGCTACCATGTTAGTATGTTACATCCTTCACTGTGTACAATACATGTGAGGTAATGCCCATTCTGGCCACTCTGCAATTCTGACGATGCATGGTAACTTATTGCAATTAGATTCTAGACTATTCAGTCACAGAAGCTTGTGGTGCAAAAGAATGAAAAGATGTTACCAGCAAACATATAGTAGGGGTGCATTCCTCTTCCCAGCCCTTTTATGATTAAAGGGTTAAAGACTGTCAATACTACTGGGCCAGAAGGGATTACACCACACAGCGAGGTCACTGACAGGTGGCTATCTCATTAACTCAGCTCTCAACTAACATAACAAAAAGAGGATCATGGGGGACCAACAGGCACCGATTGGGGAAGTTTTCTATATAGAGGGAGCAAGTAGCTACTAGTAGAACAGTGGGGCTTTAAAGGAAGACAAGGTCTTACTGTAGTCTTTGATGGATGGCCCTGATGCAATGGCTTCTATCAAGTCCCTGTGAGGTTTCGGCATGTAATCTTGGAAGAATCGTCTCGACTTATCTACAGATGAGATATAAAATTTACGAACCAGTTAAAGTGGGAAAGATTTAAATATGACTGCATGGAATTTGCATTGATGAGATGCCAGAATCACATTGTTTGATAACTGGACTGAGTATGCCTAGGTCATCAGTTCAAGACCCAGAATGGCAGTGATGTCCTTTGTCACGATATTGATCTATATTTGCCACTCCAAACCCAGGAGAGAAATGGAGATCTGGAAAGGTCAAGAAAGATGGTGTGATTGGTATGCAGTAATATGTGCCTTTAGGATGGCCAAATGGCAGAAATACTCCACAAGGAGTGGAGAGTGCATATATTGTGTGCTCAAATGAATCTGATTATCAGGTTGATATCTGTAAAGTGTCTACGAACATTTGTACCAAATGATGTTTATCATGAGATCATTACTTCTGAAAAATCATAATGACAACGGTCAAACCTGCGTAAATAGCGATGACCTATATATAGAAAGACAATAATTTAAGTTCCCCTGGAAATACAATCTGTGTTTGTCATTGAAAAATGTGTAAAGGAAACCTGCACATACAGACCACCTGCCTATAAAGACCACAATTAGTGTGGCCTTTGAGTGGTCTTACAGATACAGATTTGACTCGATCAAGCATCACTTCTAGAATCCCTTCATTCTTCCTACAGTCAAACCTGCTTTAGCGACCACCTGTTTGGAGTGTTGGCTCAGTCAGTAGAGCGTCCGCCTTCACAACCGGGAGGTCGTGGGTTCGAACCCCGGCCGCGTCATACCAAAAGACGTTAAAAGATGGGAGTTGTTGCTACCTTGTTTGGCGTTCAACAATAAGGGATAGAGCAACGTCGATCTGGCGCTGCTCAGTGGCTGCCGGGCTCACGATCAATTGGGCAAAAAGAATTTCCGTTTCGGTTTAATAAAATTTGGAGTGGACTATTAGGCTATTATTATTATTATTATTATTATTATTATTTGCAGAGACCATATTTTTAATTTGTTTCCCTTGGAAATAGTTTCTCATTGAAACATGTACTTAAGAAACCTGTACTTAAAGACCACATACCTATACAGACCACTTTTCTTGTCTACGTTGGGCGGTTTTTCTAAGACAAGTTTCACTGTACCTTCTTTTTCTTTGTGCACTACTCCGAAAGCTGCATCAAGACATGGCAAAGTTGAACTCTGTGCAGCACTTAGCCCTGTAAACTAAACAGCGAAACCCATCACAAATGATGAAATTACATGAACGCTAAATTATGTATTGTGTAGACACTGTCTTCTTTTGTTTTCTTCTATTTTGGGGGCTTACAGTAAATATGTTGACCAAGTGAAAAACAAGGAAATTTGAAACTCAAACAAAATTAGAAAAAAATAGTAAAGTCAAGAAGAAAACAAAAAGTCCTAATCGAAGATCCCAATAGAGACAATAATGATCTAAGCATTTCTAAGTATTCACATTGATCATTTCAATAGTTTGAGAATTTTCCTGTCATGCTTTTTGTTTTCTATCGAGAAATAATTCACAAACTGCTAGTTGGTGGGGGTTATCCCAATATCTCAACTACAAAATCTTCAGTTTACAGTGCCTTTCACCAAAACCAATCATACAGTCATTATCGCCATTAGTATTTAATAGGATTTGAACTTTTTAAGAAAAAAATTATGTTGTCATTCAATAAAACTGTCAAGGCTTATGCTCACATTAAACGGCTCCTTGCTGACTCCTTCGTAGATCAGACCTTTCAGATCTTTCTTCTTGAATGGCTTTGAGTCCCAGCTACAGAGCAAAATGAAAGGTGTTACAGGTAAAAGAATTACTAATGATTTTTCTTACTTTGTTATTTACTTTGCAGAGGAGCAGCAGTTTCTAGTTTAATGTTCATGGGTGCAGAAAAGGGGGGTTAAATAAACAAGTTTCCTACAATTATAGATTAGTTTATACAACTGTAGATGTTGAAATACATTATAATGATGACATTGGGGTGTCATGCAAGGCCCACGACTATAAGGAAGCAGCATAGCGAGGGTTACAAACAGCACAAGCAGGATGGGCTCCGAAACATGTTTTAAAAAAAACAAACTTACCCAGCAATGTAAGGTCTGAAAACATTGAAGAACACATGTGGCCGACAGCCCTCTGTTTTTCAGAAGAAAAAAACATCAGGGTTTGCGGATATGAACTTTAACTCTTTAAATGCCACACAAATAATCTCCCAGTGCCGCATTGAATTTATCCTCCAAAAGATATACTAAAGGCTTCAAAGTTATTCAAATGGTTGTGATTGAGCTCATCAAGACAGGGCACCCGCACCTTTTAAAGAGTTGATATTGATCGCAACCTATTTGCAATTGATATCAATCGCATCTATATATATATATATATATATATACAAGATAGGAGACTGCAAATTTGTGATTGATTTGGATCACTGGCAACTCTTTATATAAGGAAGGTTCCTAAAAAGGATAATATTTCCCAGCCCTTGTGTAGCACAGCACATCCCTTCCCTCAATTGGTGCCTACTGTTTTGTGCAAAATAACATGTGTGGTAAACAAGCGACAGTGCAGAGAGGCAAAGAATGCGACTGAAGTGTTAACCCGATGAGTCATGACTACTGCCTTTTTATGATTGCTTTTACTAATTTCTAGAAGAGTAAAAAATGTAGTACATTGTAAATATCAAAGTGAAGGTTACAGTGAAAGTCAGTGCTATGGGGCTTTTTCAATACCTACTTCAAATCATTGAATCATTGCACCCGGTTGGGTGGGCGTGTTACATGACCTTTCGTAAAACGAAAGCAGAAAGATCACATAACCTTTTGTAGATTTGCTGTAGGGTTTTCACAAAATGCGACCACCTGACCAGACGCGATGACCCAATGATTTGTAGCAAGCAGTGTTAGGGTCAATCTCAAAATGAAATCAACTCACCGGACATTCTGTTCAAGGTATTTCTCATCTTATGAACAGCTCCCTCTATAGTCCTAAGATGCTTCACCAATCGCTGTGAGGATCCATCTAAAACGGCCTTTAAGAATTACAAAGTGGAGATTGATGTACATTGGTTGAAACTTAAGGTGACTTAACGTAACGTTACAATCAAATTAATATACAGTGGCTAACATTACAAGCCTCATTACAAGCCTCGTAAAAGGAAAGCCCCCCCCCCCCCCTCCCCCTAGTCACACATTCTGAAATAAGATATTTTAGACATTTTGTGCGTTGTGGAAAACAGGGAAAGTTGTCCAGTACTTGATTTAGCAAATTTCAAGTTCCCATACATGTAATGATTACAACTTTCAACTAGATGGAACTTCGACTGCGCGCAGTCGAAATGATGCCTCCGTCATAGAGCAATTTACAAACCAAAACAGCAGAAATTTTTCAAATTCAAGTTCAATTGTAATCCATTAACAGATTCTCAGAATATTGTGATTACAAGCAATTTCTCATATACATATATGACCCTTTGATCTTTGACCTCATGACCCTAACATCTACTCAGTTCATTGGCTCTGCAAGATGTCCCGAGTTAAATAGTAATCCATCTGTCAGTTCTAATGAGAATGCGTTCACAAGCTATTTTTGCATACATAATGAGCCCATGACCTTTGACCTTTGACCTCATGACCAAAGAATCTACTCAGTTCATTGGCTCTGCAAGATGCATACATGATCTAAGTTTGGCAGGAATCCATCAATCTGTTCTAATGATAATGCGATCACAAGCTATTTTTGCATACATAATGAGCCACATGACCTTTGACCTTGACCTAATGACCCCCAAATCTAATCAGTTCATCGGCTTTGCAAGTAACATACATGACCTAAGTTTGGCAGGAATCCTTCAATCGGTTCTTGAGATAACGCGATCAAGAGCAGTTTTTGCATACATAATGAGCCCTGTGACCTTTGACCTCGTGACCCCAAAATCTATTCAGTTCATCGGCTCTGCAAGATACATACATGACCAAAGTTTGGCAGGAATCCATCAATCGGTTCTTCGGATAACGCGATCACGAGCTGTTTTTGCATACATAATGAGCCCTGTGACCTTTGACCTTTGACCTCGTGACCCCAAAATCTAATCAGTTCATCGGCTCTGCAAGATACATACATGACCAAAGTTTGGCAGGAATCCATTAATCGGTTCTTCAGATAACGCGATCACGAGAACGGGACGTACGGACGGTAGTACGGACGTACGGACGTACGTACGGTACTACTCACGACAGTATGCTTGTGAGATTTTTGTCTTGTGTGTCTGAAAAAAAGGGGTATCTTGTGTGTCTTTTCATTTTTTCCTTCTAAAGACTACTTGTGTGTCTTAATTCCCAACTTCTTGTGTGTTTGTCTAAAATTAAATGAAAATGCATCTTGTGTGTTTTTTAATACAATATGTGTTGAGACTGGTTTTTAAAATTAAAATTAAGGCTTGTATGCCCAAAAGACATTATTGTCTACCTCTATCCAAGTCAGGAAAATTAAGGCTTGTGTCCCGCAAAAACACATCATTTACCCGCCTAAGTCGTGAAAATTGAGGCTTGTGTGGCAGAAAAGACGATCAGCTACCCTGTCCAAGACAAGAAAATTAAGGCTTGTGTGCCTAAAAAACTTGATGTCCAAAAAGTATACAACTATTTATTTGTGACTTTTGAATGACCAAAAAATTGATTTATCTTTTTTCCTCATTGAATAGAAACATCACACACATATAATACAGGTAATGCAATAATATTCCAATGCTGTGGAGGAACCAATGAAAAGCCAAGGAGCTTGTCATGGCAGAAAGACATTATTATCTACCCCTGTCCAAGTCAAGAAAATTAAGGCTTGTGTGGCATAAAAAACATTACATGTATTATATACCTCTGTCCAAGTCATGAAAATTAAGGCTTGTGTGGCAGAAAGACATTACATGTATTATATACCCCTGTCCAAGTCAAGAAAATTAAGGCTTGTGTGGCAGTAAGACATTATTGTCTACCCCTGTCCAAGTCAAGAAAAGTAAGGCTTGTGTGGCAGAAAAACATTACATGTATTATATACCTCTGTCCAAGTCATGAAAATTAAGGCTTGTGTGGCAGTAAGACATTATTGTCTACCCCTGTCCAAGTCAAGAAAATTAAGGCTTGTGTGGCAGAAAAACATTACATGTATTATATACCTCTGTCCAAATCATGAAAATTAAGACTTGTGTGGCAGTAAGACATTACATGTATTATATACCCCTGTCCAAGTCAAGAAAATTAAGGCTTGTGTGGCAGAAAGACATTACATGTATTATATACCCCTGTCCAAGTCATGGATATTAAGGCTTGTGTGGCAGTAAGACATAACATGTATTATATACCCCTGTCCAAGTCAAGAAAATTAAGGCTTGTGTGGCAGAAAAACATTACATGTATTATATACCTCTGTCCAAGTCATGAAAATTAAGGCTTGTGTGGCAATAAGACATTATTGTCTACCCCTGTCCAAGTCAAGAAAATTAGGGCTTGTGTGGCAGAAAGACATTACATGTATTATATACCTCTGTCCAAGTCATGGATATTAAGGCTTGTGTGGCAGTAAGACATTATTGTCTACCCCTGTCCAAGTCAAGAAAACGAGGGCTTGTATGGCAGAAAGACATTACATGTATTATATACCTCTGTCCAATGAAAGAAAATTAAGGCTTGTGTGGCAGAAAGACATTACATGTATTATATACCTCTGTCCAAGTCAAGAAAATTAAGGCTTGTGTGGCAGTAAGACATTATTGTCTACCCCTGTCCAAGTCAAGAAAAGTAAGGCTTGTGTGGCAGAAAAACATTACATGTATTATATACCTCTGTCCAAGTCATGAAAATTAAGGCTTGTGTGGCAGTAAGACATTATTGTCTACCCCTGTCCAAGTCAAGAAAATTAAGGCTTGTGTGGCAGAAAAACATTACATGTATTATATACCTCTGTCCAAATCATGAAAATTAAGACTTGTGTGGCAGTAAGACATTACATGTATTATATACCCCTGTCCAAGTCAAGAAAATTAAGGCTTGTGTGGCAGAAAGACATTACATGTATTATATACCCCTGTCCAAGTCATGGATATTAAGGCTTGTGTGGCAGTAAGACATAACATGTATTATATACCCCTGTCCAAGTCAAGAAAATTAAGGCTTGTGTGGCAGAAAAACATTACATGTATTATATACCTCTGTCCAAGTCATGAAAATTAAGGCTTGTGTGGCAATAAGACATTATTGTCTACCCCTGTCCAAGTCAAGAAAATTAGGGCTTGTGTGGCAGAAAGACATTACATGTATTATATACCTCTGTCCAAGTCATGGATATTAAGGCTTGTGTGGCAGTAAGACATTATTGTCTACCCCTGTCCAAGTCAAGAAAACGAGGGCTTGTATGGCAGAAAGACATTACATGTATTATATACCTCTGTCCAATGAAAGAAAATTAAGGCTTGTGTGGCAGAAAGACATTACATGTATTATATACCTCTGTCCAAGTCAAGAAAATTAAGGCTTCTGTGGAAAAAAACAAACATTACATGTCTGCATTTAAAGTGAATTTTGATGTGGAATTGGGAAATCTTAATGAATTTTGATATTTGGAATCTCAAAGTTTGTGAATTTCAAAGTTTAAATTTATCCAATGTACAGAAAGCCAGTACAGAAAGCCAGTTCTGTGGCATAAAAAAAACATTACATGTATTATATACCTCTGTCCAAGTTATGAAAATTAAGGCTTGTGTGGCAGAAAGACATTACATGTATTATATACCCCTGTCCAAGTCAAGAAAATTAAGGCTTGTGTTGCAGAAAGACATTACATGTATTATATACCCCTGTCCAAGTCAAGAAAATTAAGGCTTGTGTGGCAGAAAAACATTACATGTATTATATACCCCTGTCCAAGTCAAGAAAATTAAGGCTTGTGTGGCAGAAAGACATTACATGTATTATATACCTCTGTCCAAGTCATGAAAATTAAGGCTTGTGTGGCAGTAAGACATTATTGTCTACCCCTGTCCAAGTCAAGAAAATGAGGACTTGTGTGGCAGAAAAACATTACATGTATTATATACCTCTGTCCAAGTCATGAAAATTAAGGCTTGTGTGGCAGTAAGACATTATTGTCTACCTCTGTCCAAGTCAAGAAAATGAGGGCTTGTGTGGCAGAAAGACATTACATGTATTATATACCTCTGTCCAAGTCATGAAAATTAAGGCTTGTGTGGCAGAAAAACATTACATGTATTATATACCTCTGTCCAAGTCATGAAAATTAAGGCTTGTGTGGCAGTAAGACTTTACAGCACTGGCTTTCTGTACATTGGATGAATTTAAACTTTGAAATTCACAAACTTTGAGATTCCAAATATCAAAATTCATTAAGATTTCCCAATTCCACATCAAAATTCACTTTAAATGCAGATATCCATTAAAATTCTCAAAATCACTTTGCCGATGGATTTTCAAAGAGGAGTATTGACAAAAAGAATATGTCACGTAACTATGAAGAATTTTTATTTCTTCAGAGGCAAAGTTGAGTATTTCATTATTTGCTAATGGAATACGTTTTACACATATCTGGAACTTTAAAGGTACCATGTCCCATTTGCAGGCCCCAAAAATGAAAAGGTTAAATTCCAACAGCATTTGAAAGACAATATTAATTTAGAACTTTCCGAAAAAAAAGGGGGCTTGAAAATGTCTTTAAGTGGGAAAATAACGACTATTAGTAGTTTAATCAACTAAAAGATGAAGTTGAGTTCTGGTTTTGCGATTGCATTGTGAAAGAAACGGTGTGGAATCGACCAGAAAAGGTTGATCATCTAGCATATAAGAATTTGTGTGTATTGCAAGGTTCTGGAATCATCAAAATGATAAGAAATTTGGCCAAGTCTTGGTAAAGTTACAAACACTGTACACAGAAAGATGTATATGGGACTACACAACCACGTGGCGTAAAAAGGCTATTCCCCCGAGTTTTACGATGTTACATGACATATTTAGAATATGAAGGCAT